GTAAACTTAAGCGTCACACCAAAAGTGTTTCTCGCTTTCTCATCGGGGGTCAACAAATGTTCCTTTGTTGCCATGGCCTTTAGAAGCCGCTCCTCTTCTATGAATGGGATTTTCACCACTGCTTCCCATTCCATCTTTTTTCCGTTCATATCAAGTTCAAAGTCCCTGGGATAGAAGTCGATGATAGGGGAGTCGGGACTCGTCATCAAACTGTGGAATGCTACGGGAACGATCTTCTTACTTCGGTCTGGTAAGACACCCATCAATTGCTGAAATGGGAAGAAGGGTTGTCCAAGTTTGAAGTCCACATCGGCTCCTAGGCCGAGATGGATATCTGAGATCATAGGAGCATAATGGTAACGGTAGAACCATGGCCACGATGCAACACCGCGATAATAATAGAAGAGGACCCACTGCAAGCCCTGGACGTAATTCTCTGTCAACTTTCGCATTTCCTCTGTATTCTCCAAACCCCAACCAAATTTCCCCTTATAGTATTTATCCTTCCAATCTTGGAATTTCTTCTCATACTTTTTCTCGGCAGCCATCTGGGCGTCTTCAGCTGTGACCTCTTTGACTTTTGCATTTTCATATTTCTTCAAGACACGCAAAATCGCAATCTGTGATTCATCATCGTCATCATCTTCATCATCGTCGTCATCATTTGTGGGTAACTGGACACGCAAGAACCGTTCTTCATGTTGATTCAAAACAGAGCTCCATTTCAGGTGCAGGCTATCTGCTAGCTGTTCCACGAACTTTCGATCTCTCGCTGGTAAGGAAGGAGATAAATCGAGAGGCACCGGCTGTCCGGCCTCATCCATTGGGCGATGGGTGACATACTTCTTTATCCGATTGAAGATATGTTTTTGTGCAGGGGTTATTGTAAGCACGTTGGGCTTTTCTGGCAACGTTGGGGTTTGGTCGCCATCTAGGGTTTTTGATTTGAGCCATCTGGCATCAGAATATTCAGCTTCAAAAAATCGAAACTCGACATCTGACAAAGCTGCCAACAGTGTCCTCAGCCTCTCCATGTTGATTGTTCCATGTTCATTGACATAACCACCCAGTTTCGGTAAAACATCTTTATAAACCTTGAACATCCACGCCAAAGCGCCTTCATTTATATGTAGGTTTGGAAGGTTGGGTAAGAAATCGTTTCCAACGAAGAAGGCCATTAGGATGAAATCATCTATAATCCGTTCCATATCAAAGGGAAACTGCAGCGCCCCATCTAATTTCAACTCCTGGAATTCCAGCTCCAGATATTCCCGAACAATGCAAAGGTGAAGCAAATAAAAATTCTGGTGTTCAAGTTCCTTAGATTTCTTTTGACTCTGTCGTCCAAATGTCACTTCTTCTCGGAGCAGACAGAAGTGAGGGTCATGACTCAAAAGTCCCAGCATGATTAAGTCTGCATCTAGACCGTACAAGCAGTGACGCATATTTGGGTCATACTCCGGTTGAGCCTTTGCCTGGCGAATGTATTCCATGATTTTGTGCTCTCCTTCTCCAGGGACTTCATGGCCGGAGAGAACCACCTCGACACCTTGCCACTCAGCATCTTCCGACACTTTCTTGTTGATAAAATACTTCAATTGTTTCGTAAGTTTGGCCATGAACTCGGTTCCTGGAGTGATGCAGTTACTGTCGAATGCATCTTCCTTTGGCATCTCTACACCTTCTTTTATGGCCTTCTCCTTCGCAAGTTCGGCATCAAGGGCGGTACGGAATCGTCGAGCACGCTGCTGGTTCATTTTGGCACGGGGGGCCACACCGTCGATTGCCATGAAGAATAGTCGTTTTGGCTTGATCTTCCCAAAGAGATGTTCAATATAGTTGAAAATGGCGATAAACATCTTATCTTCTGTCATTCGAAATGTCGGCGAGTCCGAGTCCTTGTGAGTGCAATTATGGATGATTCCGTTCATATCGAGGTAGAGGCAGTCAAACTCTGGAATCCGATTCTCCGCGATAAGTTGTGATATCGCAGGGTATCGCTCCGAGAGCCATCTGAAGAATTTTGGGACACCCATGGCTGTGTCTAGCAAGCTGCTGTTTTGGTCTGTTGGTGGTGTAGCTAATATTCAAGACGAGTATGGCGGTAGTCTTGTTAGGACGACCTTGTTGCGACCCTGGCGATAGCGGATACTGTACAGTGAATAACAGGAATATAAAAAAGATAAAAAGGAAGGAAAAGAGGGATAGGAGGTATCAGAAGAGAAGAATGTCGAAGCTGAATATCATTGTTATCGCCCAAATCTGAAGTGAATTTCGAAGTCGCAGCGGTCACTAAACGCCGGGCGCCCGTTTAGTCACGTGCTCCAACCGCCGGATTAATGATGTTACGTTCACGTGACGCGAAGCTTCCGGGCGTCAATTAACGCGCGCGGATCGCGTATTTTGAAGCAAAATGAGGAACAAGCGGCCGTCTTTTTCCCTTCTTCCTCTTGCATGCTGATATAAACTGCTGTTGCGCGCTCTTCTGCTGCCGATATCCAGAGACTGTCTAGCTGAAGGTACCTGTCGTTTTTTCTTATTTACGTCAGTTCAGGAACGCGGCGAGATGGACCGCTTTTCCCCAAGTAAGTAGATGGACCTTCTATATCACATAGAGGGAGATTGGGTGTTAACATATATAATGGCAGGCTTGGAAGAGGACCATGAGGAGGAGATAGCAGAGGAGAAGATTATCAATGAAGGTATGGTGGAGCTTCCGAGAGTATATGACTTTGCGCTGAGCCCTGACTGAGCTCTGCAGAATACAAAACGTGGAAGAAGAATGCGCCTTTTCTATACGATATGATCCTGAGCACCGCCTTAGAATGGCCAACTCTGACAGCGCAATGGCTTCCAGACAAGCAGGAGTGAGTCTGCCGGTGGATATATTCTGTATTTGCTTTTCCACCAAGTCTAACAAACCCTTCCAGGGACCCTGACAAATCTTACTCTACACATCGCCTTTTGCTAGGCACTCACACATCAAGCGAGGCACAAAACTACCTTCAAATAGCTCAGGTGCAGCTACCAAACCCTAAGAACCCAGAAGCTGAAGATTACGATGAAGAGAGAGGTGAGATCGGAGGTTATGGCGGGTCCAACAAGACGTCGATGGAGGTGAAGTTTAATATCGTCCAAAAGATTGATCACAAGGGAGAGGTGAACAAGGCACGGTACCAGCCGCAGAACCCTAACATTATTGCAACAATGTGTACCGATGGACGAGTTATGATATGGGATCGATCAAAGCATCCTAGCCTTCCCCAGGGCACAGTCAACCCACAATTGGAGTTGTTAGGCCATACTAGCGAAGGCTTTGGCTTGAGCTGGAACCCTCATACGGCAGGGGAAGTGGCCACTGGAAGTGAAGACAAAACTGTCCGGTTATGGTACGTTGTAGCCTTTGGGAGATAGTCTATAGCAATTTGCTAACCTCGGTGCAGGGATCTTAACACTTACACGAAAGGCAACAAGGCCTTGAAACCAGTGAGAACATATACACACCACTCTTCCATCGTTAATGATGTCCAATATCATCCACTCCACTCATCTCTCGTTGGTACTGTCTCCGACGACATCACCCTCCAAATCCTCGATATCCGTGAATCAGACACAACGCGGTCTGCCGCTTCTGCAAAGGGACAACACAAAGATGCCATCAACGCAGTGGCCTTCAACCCTGCCGCGGAAACAGTAGTAGCTACTGGCTCTGCTGACAAGACTATTGGTCTATGGGACCTACGAAACCTCAAGTCAAAGCTCCATGCGCTAGAGTGCCACCAGGACTCAGTCACCTCGCTATCGTGGCACCCCTTCGAAGAGTCCGTGTTGGCGAGCGCAAGTTACGACAGACGGATCATGTTCTGGGACCTCAGCCGCGCAGGAGAAGAACAGACCCAGGAAGACGCCCAAGACGGGCCTCCAGAGCTGTAAGTTCTCTTTCTATGCTTTGCTGCACCTTTCGGCTCTCGCTTGCTAACCTCGACGCTCTTAACCATTTAGATTGTTTGTGCATGGCGGACATACAAACCGCATATCCGACTTCAGCTGGAACCTTAACGATCCCTGGGTGCTTTGCTCAGCTGCCGAAGACAACCTGCTGCAAGTATGGAAGGTCGCGGATGCAATTGTCGGCAAGGACATGGAGGATGTTCCTACTGAAGAGCTGGAGTCATGATAGATCTCTGTACTGCCCTGTAACCATAACCAACGTATTCCCCTTACCACCAACGCTGTGCATCACCACATCACATCGCAACACTATGTATCCGTAGCCAGCTGTGCGGACGACTACAGAACACCCTGCAGAACTACCAGGGCCCTGCATCTCGTCTCTCTTCACTGTAGATCTCTCCTGTGGCGGCCCTTTTCTGCTGCCTTTTAAGCCAAAACGCCCCAGCCCGAATGCCAACATGTTCCATCTGCACCCTGTGCTCCCAGCAGCTCCCTCCGGCTTCTATCGTCTTATCATTGCTCGCACACAAACACCCCTTCGTCCTCATCGTCCCCCCGGAAAAACGACCACCCCCATCCTGGCATTAGCCAAACCGTCGGTGGAAATAGCACACAGTCAGCCCCCGTGGCTGTTCTTAAACAATTCTCCGAATTCCATTACGAGCTGCGGGAAAAGGCTGATTGGCTGCGATGGGGAAAATTTTCGGCGGGAAGAAAGACAGTCGCAGCGATGGAGTCATCGCCCGTTTTTTTCTCCCTTCTCCTCTCCGACTCTGGGTCAGAATGAGAAAATGAATGCCACTGACGGTTTCGGCATCGCTGTTCTACTTGCATTGAACTGAAGTAACTGTGCTGGTCGAGCTAAGCTTGCAGGGCGAGAAAGACGTCACCGGGAAAACGGACAAGGAAGAGAGAGAAAAAAAAAGTTATCCCGCCATCGAGAAACAGCCGCGACCAAATACCCCCCCAAATCCTCCGCCTCTCCCAGAATTCTCTGCTCGGCGTCCATTATCTACCATTCCAGATAGTAATCGAGCATACTCGCAATGGCTCCAGGCGACTCACAGACGCTGCATCCTAAGTCGAAGTCTGCGGTGCCGTCGTACCTTCTGAACGGGACTTCTTCGGTGCGCATGCCGAGCAGCAGTCGGGAGCGAGAGAGCCTGAACCACTCGATCAAGTCGTCGTTTGAACGGAAACACGCCCTGGGGCCGGAGGAGCTCAGAGACGCGGCTACTATAGGGGATGCTACGTCGAATACAAACGCTCCGGCTTCCGGCACTGACGAGAACCAGGTCAATGGCGAGGAGACGAAGCCCAACGGACTGAAGATGGTGACCGATGTGGCCTCGCAGCCGCAGCAGCAGAAACGCAGCGTGAGCAACCATTCTAGAGACCAGATATCGCCTCCGTCGACTGCTGTCAGTCGCCCTGCCAGTCCATATACGTTGAATCCACCGATAGACTTTGACGGACTCAGCTGGCCTAGTATGTCGCAATCACTTTGAACTCCGCATGTCGGGCTATTAGGATTGAAAAGCTAACTGCGCATTCATTTTCGAGGTCTGGGAACAAGAGAACGGTTGGAGTCGACGCCTGAACAAACCGAGCAGCGGATTCAGAAGCTCGCGGGCGCCGTGAGGACTATCCTTGAGTGCATTGGAGAAGATCCGGAGCGGGAAGGACTGCTCGAGACGCCAGAGCGATATGCCAAAGCTCTGATGTTTTTCACCAAGGGGTACGAAGAAAATGTACGAGATCTGGTCAATGGTGCAGTATTCCATGAGGATCACGATGAGCTTGTGATTGTCAAGGACATCGAGGTGTTTTCCTTGTGCGAGCACCATATGGTCCCTTTCTCTGGAAAGGTAGGCATCCAAACTCCCTTTTTTCACTTTCCAGGGCTATGGCTGATAGCGTTTCCTTCGATGTAGATGCACATTGGCTACATTCCAGACCGCCGAGTTCTCGGTCTTTCGAAACTGGCTCGTCTTGCAGAAATGTTCTCTCGTCGGCTTCAGGTTCAAGAACGACTAACAAAGCAAGTCGCTCTCGCCATTGTTGAGGTTCTCAAGCCCCAGGGCGTTGCCGTAGTCATGGAGTCAAGCCATCTCTGCATGGTCATGCGTGGTGTCCAAAAGACGGGCAGTACTACCACTACCAGCTGCATGCTTGGTTGCATGAGGTCAAGCGCAAAGACCAAGGAAGAGTTCCTCAGCCTGTTGAACAGGAGATAAAAACGCCAGATTACCCCTGGAGAATCATACCCTGAAAACAAGTGAAAAATACAAGTATACAGACAGGTAACCATGGATGTGATACAGTCATCCTCAACCATCCCAGCACCAGCTCAAGAGCTTCAACGTATCCTTATGGAACTCCCAAATCATGCGCATAAAGTGTATTATTTCCTTTTCTGCATCTCATCAGCATGGCCTCGAGACAAGACCTAAGGTCTTCCTCCACTCCGCCTTTCAACAAGATAATATCTGGCGTTATTTGTTCTTTGATTACCTTCTAGCACGTTGTACTTTTTGCCCCCCTACTGTGTTTCTATCCACCGACCATACCCCATTTCACTTTATTGCGTATTTCAACAACCCCTTGGTGACGAAGGTTATGATAGATGAGATTTCATGCTGCTCAACGCACTAATAACTGCACTGGCTCGAAGGATTAGGAGCATGGAGTATATCCGCATCCGCAGTTTACTGCATTACGAGCCTTTATCAATGCAACCAGGCAGTTGATTCTTAGGAATGATAGATGAAAAATATAGCAAAGAACTTGACTGAATTTCAACTCTATATACTACCTGGTAAATTAACCTGGGTATAGTCCCTTGTCTTCCACGTCCCTCCCCCTACCCCTTTTGTATACGCCGGCTTCGACTCGTAAATCACCTCTCAACACCCTGTTTGCCCATATTCATTCAAGAGCTGGCTTTTACTGTCTTCACACCTCAGACTTTAGCACAGTAAATATGTGTGATTTGCTACTATATTTCACTTGAGGTTTGTCTAAACTTGCTGGCTCACTACTTATGCTCAGTGAAGATGGTTATTGGGGGGTGTAAAAGGCGGCCATCACTGTGGTAACAACTCTATAATACACCAAATAGCAATACTAACAAGATTTACAACAAGTTTCTTATGTCTTCTCTGTTTACTTTTTAAAAGACCTTATCACAAAAACCTTCTTCCTGGCATCTTGGTATTATTCTAGGGATAGGTATCATATAGCCTATAGGGGTTATCAAAGAGTGTTCCAAACCAGGACACAATATCACGTTCTTAAGTATCGGAACTTCTCGTCTTCCGGACACTGGCCTTTATAAGGCATTAAGAGGTACGACCTTTTCACTAATTAAGTGTCTTTCTTTTCCTTTTTCTTCCTATATCTCTCGCAACGGCTAACTCAATATTTCTGCATTTGCTGTAGCTTTAATCAAGTTTATACTTACAAACTTACGCGTAATAGATCACAAGGAGAAAAAGCAGCGTGGTTTGTCCCTAAACAAGTGGTATATAGCCCCTGATATTAGATGGTGCTGCATGGAATGCACCAACAGAGCTTTGCATTCCCCCGCTCTATCTTCTTTGGCCTCTTATGGAACGCGTTGCTAATTTGTCACTGGGTATACACCTTGGTGTTATAGGAAACATACTGAAAGCCAACTTTCTTTATCTTGCAAGTTGACCCAGTCATGGCTGGTCGAGAGACTCGAAAAGGATCCTCAAGAGCACGCCATCCCCAAAGTAATGGTAGAGCAAGAGTCCAAAAAGGCAAACAGAGACAGCACTCTCTGCCATTCCGAGACCATGGAGAGCCTGATCAGCAACAAGCTGGCGAAGTTGCTCACGCATTTGTACCTGGGCCGGCTTATTTCCCACCGTTATCTGATCCGGGGTGCTTACCTGGGAACAAGCCGGTTCCAGGCGCATTTGGTCCAATTAGGGCTATTCCCAAAAATCATCCCATGGAAGATGTTAATTTCAAAACGAATAAACCATTTCCGGATAATAGACAGGTTCCACCTCCAATACGCGTACTCAGGGGCTCTGAACTAGAACAAATACAGCCAGCAAACGTACAAGGTTACAGCTGGGCTGTTGCTGCTGGGTATGATGGGCCTCTGTTGCCTAATCCAGCACTGACAGCTATGCTGCCAAAAGACGGTCATGGTCCTGAGAATCAAGGAATACGATTTTTCACCGGCGAGGGAGAGTCAAGCCGAGATACAAGTCCCTCTGGAGATGAACTTGTACGCTTGGCCAAGGTACATGCTTATCAAAAAAGGCTTAAGCCAAACAGCATTGCCGTTCCAACTGTCAAATTGCCAAGGTTAAGGGGGGTTGCTGTGATACAGTTATGGGACAAGAAAGAGGACGGATATATTGTCCTTCCAGATATAAGGAAGACGGTGTCTTCACTTGTGGAAAGCTTACCAGCCCTGAGTCGTGGGTTCCTTGCAAACCATCTCATTAGCACCTGGAAAGACCGCGAATGGCACGCGACAGGGGTCCCTAGACCTGAATATCCGGACTGGACTTCCAGGACTATCAGCAAATGCCGTATCACCAACCGCGGCCATAGTAATGGTTACCGGAGCTTTGGTGACCTTGCTCAGTTGGACTTTGACTCAGTCTCTCTTGAGAATTTCTCAATCCTGAAGGCTGGAGATATCCCCGAATTCAAGGACATGTCAGTTCTTCAGCGCGAAGAATTCAGGCCCGAATTCAACATATTTCAGCATTTGGTTAGGCATCCCGAGCTAGTTATTATCATGGCCAAGTATCTTCGGGTCCAAGAGCTGCTGATTCTCAATTACATGTCCAGACCGTTTCATCATGTTGTTCGCAATCGTATTACTGGAATCATCATTTCCCAGGCGCAGCGTCGAGCTATGGAATCGGCTCAGATCTTCCCCTTCCGTTGCTTTGGTAAGCTTTGCTTTACTGATCCCAATAAGCAGCCACATCAAGTCCCAGAGAGAGCAGAGGCAGGAGAAATTCGTCAGGTTCCTTCTTTCCGATGGTTGTTAATGATATGCTACCGGGAAATGGTATGTCACCAGATAGTCACCATCATGGCAGAAGACGGCTTGCCCGTTCCTGATAGTTGCACCTCTGTCCTGAAGAAAATATGGCTTCTGCTGGATATTCCGGACAACAAGCGACGTATTGCACTGGTTCGGCAGGCATCTATTTTCAGTGACCTTGACCTTTTTTTCGCCATGATGATCTTTATCAAGATCGATATGCGGTTCACTGATCCTGTTACGGGCAATGGAAAGGATGGTATGCGTCGTTTGCTACTGGCACAGCCAAGTCTCACAATTTTATGGAGGGCTCTAGGACGCACAGCTCTAGTCAGCAAATTGGAAGTCATGAAGCTTTACGTCCGCTGGAAGTATCACCCTCCACACGCTGAACGCGGCCAAACAATTTTCGGTATTCCGCCAGATGAGATTGGAAGGATGCAATATGAGGCCTGGGGAAAAACAGGGAGCCGACGTATATTATTGCGTCCAGATGAACTGATCATAAGGGAGTCGATTCGTCGAGGGTTGAATCTACAGCTCCATTACACAGACATGTTTCTTTGGGGTTATGTCAATCCAAGAACGAGGGATAATACTGCGACCGAAATACCTCCCCGCACCCTAGAGAGGTTAGAGGGGATGGAGGAGATATTGATGTCGAGAGAAGAGCGTGCAAGGTCAAGATTCGCCCTGGTAGCCTTTCCTCCACGGGCTTGATTACAGGTTAGACGGCAAAAGTGGACATTTCGTCAGGGCAAGGGGCTGCGTTCCGTTTCTCTGGTAACATTGGGTGGCCCATGCGAGATGCAAAGTGTGAAAAATTGAGACAGAAGATGACTGGTAAAATCGGTGATTGCAAGTATTTGATAGGTGATTTGGCACAACGGGTTTCACATTCTGTATATCTTAGGGTAACCATCTGGGAGAGGTTGGAAAATGGCAGACGGAGAGAAAGAGTGGGATGCCTGGGTTTGGCTGGAACGAGATCAACTAGTTAACGAGCTAGCAAGCTAGGCAAGCATCCAGGGAGGAAGTATTTCAAAGCGCTACCCTGATCACCTCCTCCAGGCCTTCGTTTAGCTGTTAACTCCGTCCATTCTCCGTGTTGTTGTTGTTGTTGTTTGTATGTCGAGTTAAGCTTCGAGCATCGGCCTCTCGGCCCACCGTGCCCGACCTCACTGCCTATTAATAATCTATGACGTATGCAAGCAAAGGACGCAGCAAGAATGCCACCGCGGCGTGTTTTACTTCTCTGCTCGACACGAGACGGAGCTTGGAGCTGAATAAAAAGCCGTTCTAGATTCCGTATGTTGACGCAGCCGGGGCAGGTTTGGCATGTAGATTGGTAATACGTATCAACTATTGGGCTTGCTTGGAGCTGTTAGTTAGCCAACCTAGTGTTGCTCCCTACTGGTTATAAGTAAGTAGGCCTATCTGTACAGGGCCTGTCTTACAAGAGTATTCGGTGCAACGGTGTCCTTTTTTAGTGTTTGGGGTCTATGAGTTGCAGAATCTTTACGAGAAATATCCTGTCTGCATCAGGATTCCTTGCTAGGCCTCCTCTATCGTCAAGACAGATACCTGCGGCTATTCCATCTCTCTGTTTGCCCATAAAGCCAGCAGAAGGGCTCCGTGCCACTTCACCCCCCGTGCAAAGAAGACAGATAACCATGGCGTCCCCAAATAATATCAAACTGTCCGTTACAGATACACCCGTTTTTAGCTTCAACCCGAAGGTAGAAACGGCTGAGAAGGCCAGCGAGTTGTTGCAGAAAGATGAGCAAGAGCATAATATTTACTTCAATGACATGGGATTCCACAGTCCGTATTTTCCATTCATTCCGTGCGCCAACAAGGTAAACTCTTGACACAGGTCCATGCAGAATAGACTAATTGCCATCGCAGACCACATTGATCACCATGTACTATCCATCTATGCTCTTGGGGCCTCCCCAGAAGACGTAGAGCGTGCCTATGCCAGCGGTTCCAGCTATCAACGGCCTGCCCTCCCAGTAGACGAGGACGTTGTCAAGCGTCTGAGCAATGAAGATGAATTCAGGAAACTAGCTGGAAAGAGGGAGCATTACCCAAATTTCCTGCATTTTTTCAAACAGGAGCTCGAGTCCAAGGGCGTTGGCTCTGCTGTACAAAAGTACCTCTTTGCGGGAGGAGAATTTGCCGACGACATGCTGGCGCGACTTTTTGGAGGTGCTTGAAACATCCCCCCCCCCCCCCCCTTTTCTGTTCTTTGGCTTGAATCAATTCTCACATGTAAGAATATTGCGTCAATTCCGTACAAGCTTACTGATAGAGGTTGATAGGGCTTATACATCCATTGATCCATCTGGGATTTGGCATTGAATTCAACCAACCCTCTATCATTGCCCAAGGACTTGCTCAAACCGCCACGCATAATAACCAGCTGGAGACCTTCTTTCAGCCCGCAGAGAAGATGGCACGCGATGCCGGGAAACCTAGCAACAAAACATTGGTACAACTCCAAGACGAGCTACGGAACGATTCAGATATCAAACGATCAGTTGAGTGGGCTGACTCAAGTAAATTTTTTGACGGTGTGATGCATCGATGCCCGGAAAAGATGATTAAATATGCCAGCGAGTTCAACGTCGACCCCAACCAATTCGACCAGAAGCTTGCTGAATTGATTAACTCAACGGGTATGTTTCCTCCAGTCATTGTGTTAGAAGGGTGTGGGCTAATTTGATGATTTTAGTGTATTTCACCGGAACGGCCCAAAATCCCAAGAAGGCAATCAGGTTTGATTTCTTCTACATTCATGCGTTGAACTCCAACATATTCCTTCCTGCTTTCTTTGCCCAGCCTTGGATGACCAAGGAGAATCAGGTGCGTCTTCTTGAATGGAAAGCTCGTAACGATCTCCTTACCTACGTCTCTCGCGGGTGCACGGAGCCGTACCTGGAGGACATCACAAGTTACCCTGCCAAATTAGACTGGAAAGGAGTGTTCAAGGAGATTGTGGCACTTAAGCAGGATGACGGACATGCTGCCAAATTTGTCCGGCATATCGCCTATGGAGAGAAGGTTTGCAAGCCGTATGAAGAAAAGGACGGTTTCCGTATCAAGGGTGACATGTGGCTGAAGCTGGGAAATATGCGTAAGTAACGCTATCCTTGCGATTGCAGTACCAAGGTAACTAACGGAGCGAATTATCCATTTAGTGGTTGATTCTATCCATGCGCCAGGACCCAACTGGGTAAGATCTGCAGGGTTTGAGGAGGCATGGGAGGAAATTCCAGCTCGACAGTAGCTTATGCTAGGCAATAAGGCTCCGAGTGTCGTTTATAGCACCTGAATAGGCTCTTTTTTCTTTATATTCCTGTATAATTGCAAGTGCACGTCGGCAGGATTACTTCAATAGAATGCAATCTCGATGTTTGTTGCACTGTCTTAGTCATCAAAGTCCAAGTTAACTATCACGTGACAGACCCGACCTCAAATTTCACCCAAGTTTTTTAGCTTCAGATGAACATGGGGCATCTCGTTCTCGAGGAAGAAAGGCCGGGAACACAGTTACGGTGCTGCGTGGCCCTGGGGATGGCTTGAGGGTTGCTCCTCGTGTCAAAGGTATGATTCCTGTGTTATTAATGCGCTGTTTGATGCGCAATCTCCACTCCAACAAAGCAAAGCGAGAGGGGCAAACCGGATGCTAGAGCCGACTTGAATAACAATTTGCGTCCTTTATAGGTCTACCCTCTGCATCTATGCTTTATATACTGTTGAAACCGGATATTTTATTTCTATTACCAGATCGTACAGTCACTTATTACCCCTGAAGTGCCCGACCGGTTCTGCTAGGTGAACGATTGGTGATGACCAGTTAGTACTCGCATATAGTTGACGTCAATGTTCAATGTTTGCCTTATAAAATGGTGAATACTTGGAATATAGGCATTCGCTTACCATTATGGCTCCCAGGTTAACTAGGTATGCGCTAAGTTCATATACCTTTCAGCTTGTGACCTCCTTTGCATCTTAATATTGACAGACAATCACAGTTTAGCTATGGGGGTACCAATCATTCGGCTGCTAGGATGAGATCCTACTCATCACTGGCTGTGTCCTAGGTGGAGGTGTCTATGGTTTATATATTATTACTTATCTTGGTAAACTTGGGTTACTGGATCCCTACCTCTGTCAGGGTCCGGGAGGATCATCGGCAAGCTGGTGTGGCTATTCGGGCGTCACACCGCAAGTTATTTCCTTGAGTAAATGCCCACATGGTTCGGTCAAGATAGCATGAAGGTTGACAACACTAAGCCTGTCTATCGCCGAGCTATACTGTGCCAACAAAATCCTCACCATATGACCACGCCCCGATGGAAAGGGCATTGGAAAAGCTGGCTGGCTACATGCTGACGCTGTATAGGAATATTGCAAGCAGCTTTTTCATCGAGTCAACTGAGGAATATTCTGCCGCGCATATCACAAATTTGATGCAACTGAACCGCTTACCATGAAGTTATCACGACATATGCGGCTTCTGAGGAGCTTAACCTGACAATGTGCTGGCCCTCCTCCATGATTGATGACCTCGAGTTCGAGAAAATTTTATACCGTAGATAGACAGGGGGCGGTATGCCATGGACGTTGGCTCCAGCAGTTGGTGACACCAAAGGAATTGTGCGGTGAACTTAGGCGGAATCTTTTCAGATATTTGAATGCCGGAGAAGCACCCTGGGATAGGGGCGCTGCCAGCGCCTCTGTCGGACCAGCACCCCATGTTGGCCTTGGTCATTTTACAGCCTGGCCATGGAGCCCGCCATTCCCTTTCGTAGATGCCATGACAGGAGTGAAATTCGGACGATTTACACAACCTGAATCGGCCCGAACAGACGAACCTGACGGCGATTATTGTTGGTTGTTCAATGGCGGGAGACTGAGTAATATCAAATCTTCGCCGTCCTGGTATACTCTACTTGCAGCTGAATCCCGAGCTTCACTAACTACATACGAAACGGGGAAAAAAAAAAAGAGTAGATATACCAATGTCTACCCCGGCTAACGACTTTCTAATCTCCCATGCAACAATCTTCATGCAGCATACATCGACTCCTGGCGAATCGACCTCGTTTCAGAAGACTTGCGCTGGACGACATACAAAGGCGAGAGCAAGGCAGGGGTGCGGAAGTGGTGTTTCTCGCCCGCCGTTGTTCCGGGAGCCACTTTTTATCGACCAAAGGAAAAAAAAACCGCCTTCTTAACATTATTTTGGCAACACAACAAGACGCAAGCCAGACGACGACCGATACGACGGGCGATACCTTTGGCGCAACCTGGCATTGCTACGGCAATTTTCAGTCGATTAAATTGTCTATTTACCAAAGCAGATGCGGCTTGGGGTACATGGCCGGATACGATAGACATCTATCGATGAGAGAACAGAGGAGAGACGGGCACGACGAATACGAAACGATAGAGCAAAAGACGAGCAAAAGAGGCGTCTATCACCAGAAATCCAGACATCCGCTACGTCGCAAGGAGCAGGATAGATCGGATAGAGGCCGTGCTGATTCCTACCGTCGACGTTCTTCGCTCCATCGAACCGATCAGGGACGAGGTGGAGGGAGAAGAACCGCGTCCCCATCCCCACACGACGAGTCTGCTGCTCAAGAACAGCGCAAGTCTTGCCCAGAGCAACAGGTAAGGGTCCGACAAGATGAAGAGGCACATTCACATTCACAGTTGGAGGAATACAAGCGACTGAGGAGTGCTTCACCACCCTTTTCGCGTCGCCGCCACTCTTCCGTTAGCAGACGACAAGCCCGTGGTGGTAGTGAGGACTATGCCCGGAAGCATGGGAAATTTCGAGAGCACAGCAATTTTCCAAAGAGAAATCACCTTTCAGACAAGGAGAATCGACACGCTAACGATTTTATTGAAGATTTTGCTGGGACGAGTTCTAGATCGCATCCCCCGTCCGACGAGCAGAGTCACCTTACCGCTTCCCCAAGACCTTTTGCTCCCTCATTCCCTCGCAATATAGATCCCCATTCCCGACCAGCGTCACGGTACCCGCTTACATCTAGAGCCTCGCATCACCGTTCCCCTTCTGCCTCACCCTTTCGCCCCCTAGAACCCGTTTCGAGCGACCATTCAAAGCCCGGTTATTCTCCTTTACCGATCGCAAGTGTGTGTAAAGACAGCAGCAGACAGAGAACCAATAACGACGAACACATGCGTGACACATATCCTGTACATGGTGTAAGGCCGGCAGAAGCCCGGTCTTCACGGCGGCCGTCACATCCGTCTGTTGATACTCGTCAGACATACACCACATCACCACAGTATGTAACTCCCACCAGCTCCAGGCACGAATCTCCGCAGTCTGCCTCCCCTTATAGTGGTGGCGGGCGCGGCTCGTGGTCCGCACAGCAACAATCACAGCCCTACCATGGACAGTCGAGGTGAGCTGAACCTCTACGTTTACGCTGCCTGATTTAATTTTACTTACTCTTTGTCAGGCAAATGCACGGCTACTCCCCACCATATAGACAATCCAGCTATCCGCCTCAAAGTGCACCGCCGAGCCAATATTATCAAGGTCAACCACCCAGCTCAGGGCATCTTCCACCCGGCTATTCCGCTCAGGCCTATAGAGGAAGTAGCTCGTCATATCGTGGTAAGGGTTTCATACTTCCAGTTAAATTTTTTTCACAAAGTGTCAGCCTTCTGACAAATCTCTAGGCTCACGCACTAGGGGTTCGCATTTGGATGCCGTACAATGGACTAGTCGTGGCCGTGGCACCTCTCACCAGCATCCGCCGCCTCTTCCAATGCAAATACCCTCCGAAGAGCAGATGTCTCTCGATACCGATGAAGAGGATAACCCTTTTCGGCCGTCGAAAGACCTTCAGGTGGAGGATCAAGGGGCAGCAGGTGATCTAGAACGCCCTGAACCTCCTCCTAAACGTCAGCCGGCCAGCACCACTTCACAACCAAAGGAATCTGGGAAATTCAGCTTTGCATTCAAAACAAAACCTACCCCTTCTCAAGCTCCAAAACCGATACCTGACCTAACGCATAAAATGCGTGAACCTCCTCGGCCTTTGGAACTCCCAAAAACAAAGCCCCAGTCTGTGACCTCTAAATTGAAACACGAAACCCGCTCTGATCGTCGGGATGACCGTCGAGACCCCCGTCGTGCAGAGCGTCGGTTTGACGCTTGGGATGAAAGGCGGCGGGAACGACGAGACGACCGACGAGAGTCTCGGCCTGAAAAACGAAAAGACCGTACGACTGAGCGGTCAAAGCCTAAGAAGAAGATACTCACTCGTATGAAGCCCAGGCCAACTCTTTCTGAAGAGTTTTCCCGTGCAGACTCTGTATATTACCGCAAACCTGGAAACGAGTCTGTGGTGGGAGCTGGTACTTACGGCAAAGTTTTCAAGGCCGTACATGTTTTTACAAAGAACATGGTTGCCTTGAAACGAATACGCATGGAGGGAGAGAAGGATGGATTTCCTATAACTGCTGTTCGGGAAATAAGGCTTCTCCAACATCTGCATCATCAGAATGTGGTAAGCCTACAGGAGGTAATGGTGGAAAAAAACGAGTGCTTTATGGTGTTCGAATATCTTTCCCACGACCTTACTGGTCTCATCAACCACCCTACCTTCGTACTTTCAGCGGCACACAAGAAACATCTTGCGAAACAAATGTTTGAAGGATTAAACTACCTACACCACCGCGGAGTACTTCATCGAGATATCAAGGCAGCCAACATTCTCATCAGCAATCAAGGCCAACTCAAATTTGCAGATTTTGGACTTGCTAGGTTCTTTTCTAAGTCACGGCAACTCGACTATACCAACCGAGTTATCACAATATGGTATAGGCCTCCAGAGCTCCTCCTCGGAGAGACTCGATACGGCCCTGCGGTCGACATATGGAGTGCTGCGTGCGTTTGCATGGAAATGTTTACCAAGAAGGCCATTTTCCCTGGAGATGGCAGTGAGCTCAATCAAATAGACAAACTTTACAACTCTCTTGGAACCCCTACAAGAGCCGACTGGCCAGATATTATTGACATGCCCTGGTTTGAACTCATGCGGCCGGCTGAGAGAAAGAAGAGGGCGTTTGAGGATTTATATCGGGATTGTTTATCTCCCGCAGCCCTTGACCTTGTTGCTAGCATATTTCAGTATGATGCTAGTAAGCGGCCGTCTGCAGAGGAAATTCTTGCCCACCCTTACTTTGTGTCCGAGGAGCCCAGGCCACAGCAAGCTATGGAGTAAGTTAGGCTTCTAAGACCATCCACTGTATCAATTGTACTAATACGATTGTTTCTCTAGACTCGCAGACGTAGAAGGCGATTGGCATGAGTTCGAATCCAAAGCTCACCGGAAAGAGAAGGATAAAGAAGCTCGCCGTGCAGAACAACGAGAAAGAGAAAAGCGGAAAATAGCCGGCTCTACCGAACTAAGTGAGGATAGGGAATCCAAACGCACAAGGCTCGACGACAGTGCACCAACCTCGCAGGGTGCAGAGACAGAGAACTAAACCTCATCGACCTACATAAGGTATATCGTTTGCTTTCTCTGCCTTGTTACCATCTTTCCAACCACCTGTGTTAGTATTTACACCTTTTTTTTAATTGTTTCGGCGCAAAGTTTGAGACGGAAAGAAAATGTATTATTTGATCGTCCTAGTGTACCCCCTGAGGATACGTGGATGACAAACTTGTGACTTGCTCTGGCGTTGGAGGGATTGCAATATGACTACCCGCCGTTATCTCTTTTGTAATCAACTGAAGCTTCGTTTTTACCTTTTTGCCTTGCTTTGTTGCAGAGCGTAAATGACATTAACCTTAATACTTGAACTTTTCCAATCTATAGAAGAGATCAATATCAAGTAACCATCTAATCTATCCAACTCCCTGTATATTTTATTAAACTGGCAGCCGAAAATCAATACTATATCCTAGGCACATATTGATTTCCTAGAAGCTCAGCGTTGGCAGCAGCTTCAATGAGGAAATATGCAATCGCGGTGCTAGGTGCTAACCGCAGGCCGCCTTCCGTATACCCAGGTGGTGGTGGCGCTCCTAGGGAGGATACCCCGGATTTAAGAGCCTCCTGAACCTCAGAAATATCAAACCATTTTGCCTTCTCTAGCTCAGGGTCATGGCTGAGACATATGGTTTCATCTTCGGGCTTTGCAGTCTGGCCGATGGCCCCAATCATAAGGTTAGCCGGATACGGCCATGGCTGGGTACTGTGGATGATAACACGAGAGACTATAACTCCGGACTCCTCCCAGACTTCGCGGCGGACAGCATCTTCAACGGATTCTCCTGGTTCAATGAAACCAGCTAAAGTTGAGTACCAGCATGGTGGGTATCTCTTTTGGCGCCCAAGTAGCACTTTTTTCCCATCATGGGATACTATTGCTGCAATAACTGTTGGGTCTGTCCGTGGAAAGGAGAGGTTTGAAATTGTGTTGCGAGTATGACAGGGAGGACGAGATTTATCTGCAGATAACCCAAGGTCAGTTGGAGGGCAGGCTCGCTTTGAGCCTGCATTTGTTGAAATGGTCGGTTGCCCACATGCTCCACAGAAGGCGTTGCGGGCATTCCAGTCTATTGTGTGTCTAGCTTGGGCATATATGGCAGCTTACAAAGCCAATTAATACCCTCATTATAGTTATTGTTGGGAAAGGGGGTTGGTTGTCTTACCATCATCCGAGGGCAACGAAGTAATTGCCCTAGCTTTGATAAACGTAAGACCCTTCGACTCCATAGACTCAATTATCTTCTTAGCCGATCCCTCTAGTAGCCCACGAGGGGTGACATCAAGGGCAAAATACGGAGCTCCCTTGTAGGTTCTGTATACGAATCCTCCAACTTCTGTTTGGGATTCATTCAATCCCAGAAATACGACCAGAGGAACCGTCTTGCCTGAGTCATAGCTTTCAATGATCTCCTTTTCAGACTTATCGAATAAATCCAGAGGTATAATTGATTCAACTTCTTGATATGACGCGTAATGTAGCTCTGTAGGGTTTCGAGAAAGCGGCGCAAGCTCGTTGAATAGTAGAAACCTGGCGGAGGGGTGTTTGAGGGCATTTGATAAGAACAGATTGTCGGACCGAAGGAATGATACCCGATTTAAAGGGGAACCTGTGATAGAATCCGTGTTAGTGAAATCGAACGTATATCGACAGAATATAGTCAGTCTCCTAACTAGAAAAATAATTGACCGTCTCCTTGCCAAATTTCCTAGATAGCAAAGTATCAACGCCAACATGCGCCGGATTCGGCATGACGTCTTTAGACATGGTGAAAGGAAATGGTCAACTTGGACAGACAGTATGAAGGGTCGGACTCAGTGGGGGATTGAAGAAAAATGGGAAACGAAAGCGGCTTGATATATGTGAGTATCCAATGGTTAGAGTTGATTAGTCGAAACCAACGGTCTCGTATCTAATAATATTGCTGTTCTCGTGAGCCCAGGTACGAGGAACCTCGATCCATCCAAATAAATTTGGTCACTGAGTATTAGTAATCATGTGTTTTCAACTTACTGAGAAAAAGCTGGAGCCAAAAAAGAGTTGGATTGACTGGCGAGACTGGTTAATGTTCATATAAAATGCTCAGAACGCCCAAAATAAATGTACAGGTCCAGCTGACAGTTAGATTTGACAAACGCTAAAAGAAACATCGACATAAACGATCAAAGTCAATAAGACCTCCGCAGCCGAGAGTGAAAAAAGGAGTGTAGTGACTATGAATTGTAAAGACCCTCGAGTCACAAGAGGGCACGGGAAATATATCACCTTTTTGTCCAGGAGAGAAGCCGGCTGAGGTAGCTAGGAATTGAGGGGAGAGTACATCACTGAGTGAGATACCGACCAGCTGATATCAATTACTCCTGCCAGAACCAGCCGCCCTTCTTATCACGCCCACCATTTGGTGTGTCTCTTTTATTCTCATCCTGAGTAGCCACTGCCTGATTACCGTCGTCAACAGCTAGGCGGTTATTTCTTGTAATTTCTTCGGTTTCAGTGTTTTCTTCTCGTCCATCGGCAAAGCGTTTGCTGACAATGGTTTTAGTCTTTATGGAGCCATCAGGCTGCATCCGACGCTGTGTAGTGGTGACACTAGAAACTATCGGTGGAGATAGATTTTCATTAGTCTGGGATGATGTCTGGGATTGTGATGCTGTGCCCCTAAATCGAGCGGAATCGGCAATGGCTTGGTGATCTTCTGCACGCTCCATCTCTTTCTCACGGAACATCTCTCGCCATTGTAGCTGCAGCTCTTCGAGCTCCTGGCGTTGCTGTTTTCGCTCTTCAAGTATTGCTCTTAACAATGGACTTGTGTGTGAGACAGCAGCACCATGGCTAACTTTATGGAGGAAGTTATCGTATAGGTCAAGTTCCGAGAACTGCTTGCCTTCCTCACTTGGCACTTTTTCCTGTGACATCCCCTCATGGTTTGGAGAGGTATCATTGGAGGTTATGCATTGAAATTTGAAGTATTCCCCTTCACCGTCAGGTTGACTGACGTGAGACCAGCCGTCACCCAGGCTGCCACGCTGGATTAAGCCTGCGAGCCAAGACTTTCCAGATTCGTTCGTACGTTCCCCCTGGGGATGCCTATCAAGCATAGCTTTCCCATTTTCAATCCGGAGTAAATCTTCGAATGCTTCCCGCCACTGAGGTTCCCTGAGATCTTTGTGCTCATGGGATGAAGCCAAGGAGCCAAACCAAGGGGAAGAAGCATGCTCCTGATATCGTGGGCATAATTGCCGTTGCCTTTCTAACTGGAGGGGTGAGTAAGGGGAAAACATGAGGTACGAGATTGGCCATCCTGCAGAAGTTGAGGGGGACATGAAGTCAAAAATAAATGGCCTATGAAAGTGAGCCAGATCCCGGAATAGAAGAGAAGGGTCAGTGGGCCAGGCACTGTCGAACAACGCGTCGAATGCTGACGCTGGGATAGACTGACTCGCGTATCTCCGATGCTGTTCCGCTATGGAGGGGTTGGTCCCAAAGAACTGCTCATCATATCCTCCACGAGACGAGGGGTAGCTATCACTTGGATTGCAATCGCGGCATTTGTGGTGTTGACCATAATCGTTATTTGTTGCAGTATCTCGGCGAGCTCTTAGCGTCTGGCTCAACGCTTCATCATTTAGGCCAAGCCAGTCCTTTGCAGGGGGAAGAACAGCGGAGGGAAGCCCAACAACCGATCGAAGAAGGGTTGAGAGCTGTTTATCAGCGTAACGGCGAAAAGATATAAACGGGTTCTCTTCCTCGTCTCCGGCGCCGCTGCGGCCGCCGGTGTGAGGGCAGGTCTGGCTGCGATCACGTCCCGAATCCGATGCCATCGTTAGCGGCAAAATTTGTGGACACTCTTTGTCTAGGCTGGGATTCAGTTTAGGTGCCGATCTTGCTGCAAGCTGCTTGTTAGTTACCGCTCTCGTGCTGCTGCTCAAGAAGTTGTCTGATAGACTATCAAAACAAGTCGTTGAGCTCCCAACGTCTGGCGGGTGACGTTGATATTCCACGTGACGTCATGTGCATACATGCCGAGCTTAAGTAATCCAAAAAAACTGGAAGATCATGTCATGTCAGGTGACTTAAGCCGCAGCCGCATTAAGCGCCGCTTAGTTAGTCAGCAGTTAGCGCACATCCGAAACAGGCAAAATCCAACGACGGGCGAACGATCAACGTCGCAAGGCAGAAGACACGCGACAAGAAGAGAGGGAGGATGGAGAAGAAGAAGGGTGGAAAGAGGAAGAAGAAGTAGTAGAAGAACGAGAGCAATACAGGCAGAATTTCCTCCAAGGTTGAACTTGATTTTAAATTGGCCGGCAAGACCTGTTTTCGGACTCTCCGGCATGCCGGGTGTTGTCTTTTCTCATCAGCATAATTCACTCGCCGATCCCCTGGGTGCGGAGTTCAACGTTGAGGCAGCGATGCCGTGCGAGGATCAACCCCTGAAAGCCTCAGATCATTGCACAAACCCATAGGCTCGCAGCTAAGCAGGATGGGTCTGCCCTGCGTTAGCGTCCCATGCACTGGTAACGCCTAGGCCTATCTTGTACATAAGATGGTGCGGAGTCGGCATACCTCGGGCCATTGCACTGTTTCGGTTAAGGCGCTCCAAACGGCGAAGGGGTGTCCCCAGTTGCTTCGATGTCGAAAAAACCAGACTGCGTTAGATGCTCCGTTTCCACCATGTCTATTCTGGAAAAAAATCAACGACTAGGTGCCTGCAAGAATTGCTTAGCTGCAAGAACGAGATCAATTGGTTCATAGTCTTCGCTTTGATAGCAGAAATATCTCAGTACTATTCCCGAATTGCCACCCTGCATACACACTTGGTTTCATATATACCATCGAAGCGAGGCAAGCCTAGACTTTTACTTTGAGGGGTGAGCTTTCCGCATAACCGGTAGCTCGAGGCAAAACAGGATATCCAGTGTTAGGTTGGGCCTACTGATATTTAGATGGCTCTCCCTTCGTCCGCAGCTTCGTTCTTGTCTTCTTCGAAAGAACACAGAAGCTCTTTCAATCTGGCGGTCTTGTTGTCCCGTCTACGCTGCCAACAATGGGCCAAAACGCCATGAAGTACGATACTTTACCGATTAATCTTTTGCAGTCAGACGACCAGTCTCTCCTTCTTGAACGCCTTGATGAATTACGTCGAATAGGACTGCATCACCAAGTCTTCTCCCATACACTCGTTATTTGCGGCGACCAAAACTGCGGCAAGTCCGCGGTATTCGAAGCCATTACCGGCGTCCCTTTGCCTGTCAACAATGGCGTCTCAACCCGGTTTGTCGTCGAAGTGGCTCTTCGAAGATCAACAAGTGTCGGCACGCAAGTTAAGATTCGTCCGGGGCCAAATGCTTCGCCAGATCATAAACAAAAACTTGGGGTTTTTTCTCGCTCGCACGACTGGCTAGCGGATATACCCAGGCTTTTCTCGGAGGCTCGCCTAATCATGGGCCTTACCCGTGAGGGAAGCTACTCAGAGGACGTCCTACATCTAGAGATATCCGGCCCGACACTACCCAATCTCACGGTAGTTGACCTGCCGGGTTTGATGTACCTACCCCGTGATAATCAAACTACTGCAGATATCGCAGTCGCCAAGAGCCTCACCCTAACATACCTACAGAACCCACGAAGCATCATCCTTGCTGTTATCTCTGCAGAACGCCAACTCTCAGAGCAAATGGTACTCCCTATGACGAAGAGTTTTGCGGCCCGAACAATGGGGATTGTTACCAAACTCGACCGTTTGGACCCTGACGCCTCTACCATCGCCAAGGTGTATGACCGGGTCAAGCAACAACATCAATCATTACAGCTAGGATGGCATTTATTACGGAATACGGATAGAGAAGGAACCGAACGCCCGCAAAGAGTTAGCCGTGATGATATTGAGGAGCTTTTCTTTGCTACTGCGACACCGTGGAGGACTCTACCTCTTCATTTCCTTGGCGTGGGTGCTCTTCGGAGTAGGATCCGTAAAACCTTGTTGTCAGAGGTCAAGCGTCACCTTGCTGTTCTCAAATCAGACATCAATATCGATCTTGATACCCATCGTTCTCTATACGAGAAACTTGGTTCTCCAACCACCACTACAGTGGAACGCCGCGTGTATCTGGCTAGGATAGGAGAAAGGTTCCAGTCCCTTACGAAAGACGCCATTCATGGGGAATATCATGACCCATATTTCAGATATCGTCCGACTCATTCGATACGTCGACTGCGTGCTACGATCAGCAACTGGACAGAAGAGTTCTCCCAAGATATGAGAAGGCGGGGTCACAGTTACGACATTTATGATGATACTGAACAAAAAGAATTGCCTCCACGAACGAAGGATGGGCCTCAACCTGTGACAAAGAGAGAATTTATGAGTGGCCTTGAAGAGTTCGTGAAGCAGAGCAAAGGTCGTGAAATATCAGGCCTAATGAATGCCCAGGTTGTTGGTGAATTATTCATTCGATACTCCCTACGGTGGAAGGAAATTGCTAAGGCTCATGTTTTCCAGATGTGGGCCAAAATCAAGCAATATCTTAGTGACGTCCTTCATCATATTGCGGATGCCAGCTTTGGCGAGGCCTTGATCCACAAAATATTCAATATCGAAATGGAAAAGAAATTGCAGAAACTGCAAGAAAAGATTGACGAACTCGTGGCTCCATTCAAAAGGGTTATACCGACAATCGTTGATCCGGACCTAAGTATAAAAATCTCTCAAATACGGAGGGCAGCCAATAGTGGTATCAAAGCTCTCAGTACTTGCTCACTGTACTCCGAGATATTGGACTGTATGCTGGCGTATTATTCAGTATCTCTCAACAACTTCATCAACAATATTGTAAGCCTGGCTGTCGAAGGTTGCCTTATAGATGGTTTGGAGGATATGATCACTCCGTCCAAATTCGTTCAGATGTCTGATGATGAGATCGAAGATATTGCAGCTGAGTCTCAAGATGTGAAGCTCGCTCGATCAAGGCTCGAGAAGCAGGTTCGCATGCTTGAACTCGCTGCGTCGGCCTGCACTCGCTGTGAGCTTGTCGCTCTTGAAGCCACAGCGAGTGTTAACCGAATTTCCACCGAGTCGAAAGAAAGCGAGAAGACCATTGGCTCTGGGGCATCGTCTCCATCATCAACCACATCTGGATCAGATACCGAAAAATTACTCGTGCGACAGGACCTAGCTTCAGGGCCGTCCAGCAGGCAAAACGCCAATGGACAAGGCAGCATGTTGAGAGCATTTCCCTCACAGTCCACGCTTTCAGATAAACAGCTGCTCACCAGTGCAGTTTATCGACCATCTACAGGTACATCCTCAACCAATAATGATAAAACACTTCCGTCTTGCCAGCCCCGCGAACTACGGCGGAGCGACTCGAGATCCAAACTTGGAAAAATTATTACGAAAAAACAAGTGTCAAAATTCGTATCTTCAATTTCTGAGGAGTAACTGCATCGCATCGCATTCTAGGCGCTTCATTCTTTACCTATGAATTGATACCTTTCTTTATTGTTGAATTGATACCCTTCCGGAATGGCCAATTTTAGTCTAATTCAGGTCTTTCTGAGCTTCTTATGAGCCCCCTCCTGCTTTGTTAACTAAAGGAGGATTGATGTTTGATTCTTTATGTTGCCATAGTTCTTGAATTAGTAGCCGACTCCCGATATATTACGGGGATTATCGTGACCAGTTGGCATTTAACATTTTAGTGCGACCTAATAATTAGATACCCGTTTAATATGCCTTTGCTTGATTGTTCTTTTCTGCTACATACTAATATTGTAACTTGTTGTCTGTGTTTGCATTTTGGAGATTTTTTTTGTTGTACATCTTTACATCTTTGACACTACTCTCCTTTATCAACGTGCTATTTACTTTGTTTATTTGTTCATTATTTATTTTACTTGAGAATAAATGTTTGATATGGTTCGATCGTACTTAGGCAGTTTGTATCATTAAATTTTTACTGATAATTATAATAAGTTGTACATGGAAAGGAATTTTCGGTTACAGTCAAATATCAAGTTGTAATCCAAGGAAGAATTGGGAATTATTCCTTTTTGTACCTCAGATTGTACATCATCGTTCTATTGCTCTAGCATCTTCTTCCGCTTCGCCCGATCTCGATCAATTTTCTTGAAGAAAGAACTCCGTTCTTTCAACTGCTTATTTCGACTCTTGTTGTGTTCGATATAAGCCATATCTTCTCCTCCAGCAAGTCCGCTGAGGGTTGCAGCATTCCTACGCACAGACTTCTTATTACCACGAGATTTCCCTCCAGCCGACCGATCATTGAACAGATCATCAGCATTTTCCTCAACCGCAGCAGAAGTTTCATTCTGAAGTGTTACGTCAGCTAACAGTGCCAGGCGCTCTTCGGCTGTAGCATACGCAAGACCCTCGAGATTTTCAATACCCTGCAGATGGGTGATCACCTTGAACGCGTAGCCTTGATCGACCAAGAAAGCTTGACGTTTGGAAGAGTAAAACATCTCATCGGTATCCTTTGACACAAGGGAGTAAAAGAAAGCGTTGAAACCTTCATCATTACGACGCTTAGCTCGAAGGATACGCCCCAGTCGCTGAGCTTCCTGTCGACGAGACCCGTAGTGAGATGATATTTGAATCAAACAGGTCGCCTCTGGTAGGTCGAGAGATGTGTCGCCAATCTTAGAGAGAAATATTGTGTTCACTTGTTCATTATGTTGGAAGTTTTCAAGAATCCGCAGACGTTCGTTTTGCGGTGTTCCACCATAAATGTAAGCTTTCTTCAGCTTCAAAGCATAACGTTCGAGTGCAAAGACATTGTCTGAAAAGACAATGATCTTATCGCCTCGTTTTTCATGGTAGTCAATTAAGAATTGACAGGCCTGGAATTTCCTGGGGTTCATGATATATAAAAGAGCGGCTTTCCTGGACTTTTCACGCATATACTCGGTATAAAACTCGGTAGTCATGGGACACCACACTTCTGCACATTGAACTTTGGCAATATGACCTTGCTCTGCAAGCTCCATCCAGTTAGCTTCGTAGAGCTTGGGCCCAATAAGAAAGTTTAAATCTTTGATTTTATCATCCTCTCGGAGAAGCGTGGCTGTCAATCCGAGCTTGGTTTGTGTAGCTATAGCGGATGTGACTGTTCGGAACATAAAGGCGGGCACGACATGTACTTCGTCCAACAACATCAACCCCCACTCCCGAGACTGCAGCCACTCCATCATCTTTTCGGCGTCATGAGATCTAGCTCGGGTTTGTGAAACCATCGAGTACGTAGATACAATAACTCCTGTACTCCGTCGAAACTTCTCCTTGTTGTCCGATGTGAAGATGGCAATATCACTCGGGTCAATATTTGACCATCGAATAAATTCATTCCGCCACTGGACAACGGACATGGAACTAGTGCAGAGGACGATAGTTCCCTTTTTGATAGTGCATGCTGCAGTAATACCGACCAGCGTTTTACCAGCACCACACGGAAGGACGATAATCCCACTCTTTGCTCGCCCGTTACCAAACATCTTACTCAGACTCTTTTCTTGGTAGCTTCGAATCTGAGCAATGGGTTTGAGGTCAATGTCCAAAGTTGGGTTGATCTCATCATTGCGGAAATCGTATTCCTCAAGTGCTGGACAGCCCATGGATTGGCATCTAGCCTTCACTGACTCCACTGCTGTATTTGGAATTTCAAAGCTGTGAACCTGTGCTTGTTCTTCGTCGTCATCTTCCTCTCGTAAGTTCACTAGAATGTCATCTTCATTTGATTGGGCAGGCCTCTCTGACACCTGAGCCGCGCGTTGGTCTGGCGCTTGCTTCATCATAGCCGCATCCTTGGTTCCTGGAATTACTAACCCGCCCATTTTCGGGGCTGCCTGTTGTGTAATTTCGGATGACTCTATTCTCTGCGGTCCAATAACTTCATCTTTCAGAAGCATCTGCAGAGTAGCTGTATCTGAGCTTTCCACAAAGAACCGGTTATGCTTCAGCACCAGCTTTATTTTTCCATATGATTTCGTGAAATTGATAATAAACGATTTTAGAGTTTCAGGAAGAGGAGTTTTCGATAACCTATCAAGAAAATTGATGATATCTGTAGGAAGAAGTCCGACGGACACGGCAGCATAAAGACTGTTGCCTGTGAGCCGATATTCATGGAGATGCGTGGGCCGTGACAAGGGTTCAGCGATAGTTGTCAGAAAATCTTGCGCTTGTGATGCTAACGGAGAAAAGCTCTCCAGTGTAATGGTCCCCTTTAGGGGCTCTATCCAAAGTGGGCGGTTTGCATGATCGGGTTTCAATGCAAGGGAAGAGAAATCTTTGTATCCAAAATGCGGATCCTGTTTTACGGCCTGTGATTTTTGGCTGTAGGATTGCAGCGTAAATTTCTCCACGACGTCTGGTTCAAGATACTACCGTTAGTACTCCTTCCGGTAAAACGCAGAGTAGTATACAAACAGAGCATGCCTTTCAAGTTATCGTCTTCACCATCGCTGCCCTCAGGCTCGACATACTCATCGCTACTTACACTCTGAGGTGTTGAAGTAGGATTCGGAGTTGCACGCTTCGAGGCTCGCCCCTTTGCGCCTACGTACCCAAATAAACCCATTGTCAGTTTATATATTTCATGCGGGTTAGGTGCCCTATTTGCTGAGATTATATACCTTCAACCGCCTTCCTCTTCGGAGGCATGTTTCTGTTTGACTGCTGCGGCCTGAGAGATGAAGAATCCCCCAGAAGTCCTGTGTCTCTGATCCGGAGCTCCTAGAACATTATCTCGATCTGTTATGGTATCTTACCTCAGACTTGTCACAACACCAGGCCAGTGGTGCCGACTTGCAAGCGATAAGAAGCAATGAGAAAGGGAGAAGAAGTCAGAGACAAGTCGTTGTCGATGACGATCTCGGCTTCTTATATTGCAGCATCCAAAAAGAGCCTTCCTTATCAAGATAGTGTCACATGATCAATGACTAAGCCAAAATCTAGCCATAGCCGACTTTAAAATGACTTCGAGCAGGAAATTTGGAGCCGAGTTTCGCCAGCCGGGATAGAGATCAAAGACGCCGAGAGACTGACAGATTCGGTTCCATTGTTTCTCTTTTGGACTCAAAAATGAATACTGTAAGTAAGCATTGGCCATGGTTTTGACTCTTTACTGGAACTGGTGTCACTAACTGCGTGGCGGTGTTTAGATTAAATCAACCTGGTACCGACAACCCATAGCTTTGATCGATCACAATTGGGAGGATTAAGAGAGAACTAAACATAATCAATCTGCCTAGGATCGGATGGGGAGCGCTTTGTGTCGGTACGACTATTATGCAATACCCTGGTTGTTTTTTTATACTCCTCAAAAGGAGCAGGATATCTAATGCCGTTTTGTGACCAGCTGGTGGCGGCGCATACTATTTCGCCAAACGCTCTATCAACGCCGACCGATTAACCAGATTTGACGCTACTCAGAAACGCAAAGATGAAATGGCCAAAGCTGAAGCTTCGGCAAGGGTACGGACACAAATTCTTCCCCTCCACGGCGAGATAAGATTGACTCTAGGGCTTCACTAACCGGCATTTGGTACTGGCTGAAGGCGGCAGCTGAACAGTCAAAAGCGGCAGTTGCCCGGGCAGGGAAATTGAATAGTGGGTCACAGAAGGATGACGCATATAGCCCGAGTGAAGAATTAGGACACGATCCAGCTCCTACGAGACACGAACCGGACACCGATGCGCAGCGTCTGGCCGAGAAAGGGAAATACGAAGCTGCCGAAGTATTTAGATCGAGGAAGGGTGATCGTTTCAGCTGATTGATGCTGGATATTATACATACATTCGGTTAGGTATGTTACCACGATGGCTAGGCAATATATTTGCTTAGTCTGCTCTTGCATATATTATGCTATAAAAGGAGAGAGGTGGAGATATCTGTATATTATTTTGACCATCATTTCTGCTACTCTTCTCTGAAATTGTACTGTACGGAATACCAGGGCTTGTATCGTCTTGTGATGCCAAGGACCCTTCCAGACGAATCCTTGGGGGTGTCTATTGAAGATTATAGAGGAAGTTGCAGCAATAAAGATGAACAGGGAGAAGAAACACTGATTTGGAACTATTTTTAGTCATTAGAAGACTCTAAAATATCTCATAGAATTGAAACAGCCATAAGAATAATCAACGTTATAACTCCATGTCCGAATTCCTAATGAAATGGATTCTCGTACTCCATTATGATGCCGAACGCCGTTTCATGACAATCATAACCAACCCGTGGCCCGTAGACGTAAAAGGAGATAAGGAAAGTCGACGAAGTGAAGGCAGTAAACATATGCTTAGCGAGAATGGAAACATAGAGGAGGATAGCTATATATATATATATGTCAGGACAAACCCATCTTCTTCGGGGCAAGGGAATGATAATAACTAGTTAGTGGGAGGGGAGGCTCACTTATTTGCCGGTGGCTGCTCCAGCTTTCTCCCCCTCGAGCTCTCCAGCGCCGGCGGGATAAACGGCAGCAGGACGCCGGAGATGATGCACGATGCTGCCAGATATCGCTGGGCCCTGCTCTCTGGCTTCGGGGCTTGGGCAGAGAACCGCCGAAGCGAGTGTCGAAGCATGACGGTTGGCTGGTTCATGGTAGGCGGCGGGCGACGAGGGGGTCGGCTGGTGAACTAACTCGTCACCCAGTTAACTAGGTATTCTCGTAACTAGGAATCGCCTGTTTCTCGTTCGAATAGATGTCCCGGCTGCCAGACAGAGTGACGGTGGTTTGTTTTTGGCGGGAAGAACACCGTCCCAAGAGGATCAGACGCAGCTTTAAATAACACCTAGTTAACCAGCCAGGGCCCAACCCCCTCCCTCCAGCTACATCCGTAACCTCGTGGTGTCTCGAGCTTCGTCTCCTTCGGCGGTTCAGGCACGCCAGTCGGGAGTTTGGGCGGCGGGCGCTAGCTCCACGGCTCTTCCGCATCGCCGAACCTCCAGGGATGATGCATGACGCAAAGATGGCCAGATGACAATCGCGTGACGGGGGATGGAATCCGTGGGCTTCCTGGTGGGCTCACTCGGCGCCTCCCACGCCTCCCACGCCTGTCCGTGGCCAGCGCCTGCTAGTCCTTAGTTACGACTCTATAACTAGTTACCTACTCCGTAATCGAGTTGCTTTCCCGAAGCTTTCCCCGGAAGTCTCGCGCTGGCTCTGCTCCAATGATAATACATCTCCCGGCGAAGGGTTCGTCCGTCAACAAGGTAGAGCTTCGAAACAGCCTTGTTGGAAGCGCCGGATATTTGCTCAGATTCCACCCTGGCGTACACATGGAATACAGAGACAGTCATGTTATCCGGAAACAAGATTTACTCTACGAGGCAGCGGCCTGCTTTCTAGGGATCGCCCGGAATGCTCAGATGGCCTTGGTTCTTCTTGTACAATGTCCTTGAAGGAGGGTTCTATAATGATGGCTATATTCTTACTCGGTACTCCAAAGTGACACCACCACGCCGCACCTTTTCCCGAGATACGCAGTCCATGTCATGATGCAGCTTGCGTCCCGTTGAATTGCAATTAACTAGTGCCTTCTTACTCTGTATAGTTTGTAGCATCTTTATTCGAGGACGTCGCTGTCTAGCATACCTAACCAAGTTGGAGACAAATATTAGGTACGCACTGTACGGAGTACTGCTTTGCTTGAACCAGACAACTGCCAGGGCATAAATTTACAATGGATATTCTTAGCCAATAAAAATGCCAAATTAATAGTTAATTGGTAACCCGCGGCTCGTAGGCTATATCAGAATTGGCGCCGCTACTTCACCCAATAATATTGGGACCAGCGGCTATATGGCGGCTTTTAGCATCATGAGCCTGATAAGCCACCCAATCAGAATACATTCCACTTTCAATGACGACCTCCGTCCCTGCGGTTTAATACCAACTGAGTGCACGCCACCAGTCAATGCCGTCATAATGAAGAAGGCAAGAAGGCCTTCGCCGCCTGGGTGACTCACATAAATACTCACTAGAGCGCTCCCTTTCCATTGTTCTTGTTTCAAAACTCATCATCACTTTATATACACACCAAGATTTCGGTTATTGAATAGGACGTAAACCTATGGATAGCCAACGAATTTTTCAGCGGATAGGTGCTGGATTTTGTGGCACGGTATGGGCTTTAATGCCCAGTAATAATATGCTGGAAGACGACGCTTTCAAGCGAGAAGATGGAGGTCCTGGAAGGTCTCTCCAGAAGGAATTTAAAATGCACGGGATCATACAGAATGCTATAGAGCAATACGAGAAAGCCACTCCCATCTCTATACCCAGATGCCATCAGTTTATTGATCCCGACGACGCTTGGTGGGGGGCTGGCAATTTGGAGAAATTCCCTGACGGATATTCCCCTTGCAATATCATTCGGTCCGACCGCATTCCACCTGTTGGACAACCCACTCGGGAGTTACTGATCGAGAAATTTTGCCCTCCACCTTTGATATCAGAATTAAAGGCTAGTGAGGTCAACAAAGACTGCCTCATCCGCCCATACCTCGGGAGATGCCGATTTAGCTCACGACCGAAATCGAACTTCGTGGCCTTTTCTCTTCGGAACTTTCCGTTGCACCTCGACCAGATGTATGAACTCGAGGTACCTCCAACCGACCTCCTCAACTATGCTGTACTGATGGCAGAAACCCTGGCAATACTTCATTGGCTAGGTAAGACAGACGCGAACGATATCGAATTCGTCTTAGCTCCACCACGCAATGACCAGAAGTCAGCAATAATATCAAATTGTCTTGGAGAACACACGATATGGATCCTGGACTTTGACTGCTGTAATGTTATCTCTCTCGATAGGGAAGGGGTCGATCAAGCGGTTAGGGCTTTTATAAAGAATGACCCATTCTATCCACGCCCAACCTCCAGCCCTGACCTGTGGGTGGCATTTCGACGCAAGTACATTGAAACTAGCAACGAAGTGCTAAAGGGAGCAGGTGATATGGCTCTCCGTCAGCTTCCAATTCATTTTATCAATGGTGTTGAATCTGCTTTACAAGTTTCTTCGGCCTAAGCTTAGACGATGTTTTTTAGTTGTATAATAGGCGTTTGAAGCAACACACAAGGATCACACGAAGCAACACACGAAGCAACACACGAAGCAACACACCAAGCAACACACCAAGCAACATGGAAATATGTGTCATTGCCCTTGACATATAGAATAGATCCGCATGACTACAAGCTTCGCTCTCAGGTTTCCCTCAAGTTTGACCCTTCAATCATTACAGCATGTCGGATAATATTGGTGACGAGATTTCTTCACGATCAATCCGCCAATATGACACCTCGGAAGACTCAAATGCCCCAAGGCTTGATAGGATGTTCAGCAGATTGCAACTTGAAAGAACCAGTACCTCGAGCACAACAGGCCCGGATACCAAGAACACTCTAAAAAGGCTTCTATCAAACCAGTCTGGGATATCCACTGCATCCTCCTATGCCGAATTCCAGAGTGCTTCAGCAGGCCAGGCGAGACCCTTCAGAGAGATTGGAAGGGGGTCAATTGGAAAAATTTACGAGCAACCAGGAACAACATGGGCATTTAAACTTCTGCTCATCGATCGAAGTGATAAATTGTGGAACAACTATGTCATGCATCTTCGGGTTCAAAACAGCTTTGACTAGCTCGGCAGCATCTGTGGACGTGTGGAGCTACCGCGTGTTGCATGGTTTGCAAATAAGACATCAGAATTTTGGAACGACAATCTTCATTTGTTCCCAGACGAGCCGACTTTCAGGCGTGAACCTCGCGATGTTCTCTGCATGGAACGAATTCTCCCATTACCGGAACCAGTTCGAAACGCCATGATTGGAGCTTACTGCCCACCCCATAACATCGAGAACGCGAAAAGAGACCCAAAGAACAAAGACTGCCTTATCATGGTTTTCCTGGGAAGAAATAGGTTTGGAACATCTCGGCCCAGTGGCACTGCCTTTTCTTCGCTTCGCAATTATAAGCTACATCTAGATCAAATAAGAGACCTTGGTTTAGATGTCGAAGAGCTGTGTGAGAGCATGGCAGATACCATGGCCGTTCTACACTGGCATGCAAAAGTGGACGGAAACGACATTGAGTTTGTTTTTGGCAGCTCCCCGGAAGATAAAAAAGCGATCCGTCGAGAAGTGAAACTCGCAGACGTCGAGCGAATGGCTCCAGGATCAAGCACATATGAACGGATTACCAACATTCATCCAAACTTCAAGAAGCGACTTCTCAGTCTATGGATTCTCGACTTTGACGCATGCAAACCCATATCAATGGATGAAAATGGAGTGCGACTGGCGGTGAAAGCCTTTTTGGAGACCGATCCTTACTGCCCCCGGCCGTCAACTGAATGTCATTTTGCTAAGGAGCTCTGGAAATTATTCTGCACCCGATACATGCATACTGCTGCGAGACTCGTGAGAGGCACAAATTACCATCACCTGCCAGTGAAGTTTATTCAAGGAATTTCGAATGAATATAGGCTACGTGAGGAAAATCGAAGGGAGACTCAGGTTGCACCTCCCACAGTTGTTAGAGGAAGAGGAACTGCGGGAATAAGGAGAGCTAGAAGCAGCGGCAACATGATGGGACGTGGTAGAGGCACTTGGTCGAACCAGCCGGGGCCACAACCAGGAGAACCAGAGCAATCAGAGCGACAGAGGCAATTGGAGCAAAGGCAAAGATGGGGCTTTCGAGGGAGAAATATTGGTCACAGGCATTGATAGAATGTGTACGAAGGCCACGTCATAAACATTGGTCCAGGGATATGTAATTAAGCAGTTAATATAATTTTGCTAGGAAAAAAAAAAAAATTGAGATCTTTTAACACCTCACTAATTGCTGAAATGTCACCATGTCCACCCTGCCTAACGGTACAGAGTAAAGTATTCTTCTTAGGGCAAAATTCTCTATTCTATCAATGTAGTCCTAAGCTATACCCCACCTTATCTTCTTTACTTACCTTTTATACCTGTCTTCTAACCCTTTACTTTCTTACTTTCTTATATAGAGTTCTTATACCTCTAACCCCCTAGTCTTTCCTAACCCTAACCCTTACCCTACCCTAAGTGCAACTAGATAATATTCGGGAGTTATACTACATAGTAGAAGCAGAAGAGTATTGTTTAGGATACACGGTTAAAGCAGAGAATTTTACCCTAGGAATAGTGCTTTATTCTGTACCGTTAGGCCGGTGGACATGGTGGTTCCATTACATTCGGCACTGTTTGATAATACTCATACAGTACTCCGTATCTGGAGAATTAAACGTCCAGACAGCTTTATCCTATGAAATTTATTATTGGTTTCTTTCAGTTCCAATACGTAATGAGTCGGAGATGGATTAATGAGGTGTTTTGCAGATCACATGTCAGCCCGACAAAGATGGACCATTCGATCGGCTTAGAGATTTTAGTCACGTGATACTAATTGCACATGACTGGGGCGTTTTAATTCGTCAAGCCTCCATGAACACCATGAAAACCGCCGAACGTCAAAACCACAGACAAGCAACGCCGGGACAATATTGTTTACCCCCGAGTGAGCCTCCCAGAGGCTGTACAGCTATTTTCACAATGAGCTCTCATCAGATTGCTGTAGCGAAGGCTTCGTTCTCCGCTGGCCTTCTACGGCCTGACCCTGAGCCAGTCTCTGGAGATGAGATATCACGCTTTCACAAAGAGCTCGACACGATGATGTCGCATTGCTCCCCAGCACATATCCAGGTTTGGACTATTTGAAGCTCCTTGCATCGTCGCAGCGGCAATATCCAAGTTTACTAAACTGTTACGCCTTGGGGTTTTTCACACCAGATATGCAAATCATGGCTTCTAAAAAATGTTGCCCCTTCGTCCGTCCGGGTAGGGGGATTGGGCAAATACTTCATTGCGCTGGCAGAGTACTTGCAACAGAAACCAACGGATAGGCAAGAGACTCAAAACGGAGGTGATAGAAAGCCCGGCGCATCCCCGAGGAGAAAGACGTTACATATTCTCTACCTATTAAATGATCTACTTCACCATACGAAATACCATGGCCCGACGTCCACTTCGGCGTTTTCAACGGTGGCCGAGTCATTACGCCCATACTTGACCACTCTTTTTGGCCGTGCTGGGAGCTATTGCCGTGAGAATAGCGCGAAGTATCGCAAGCGGGTTGAAGATCTTATCAAGATATGGGAAAACAATGCATATTACAGTGCGGAATATATGAAGAAATTGAGGGATGCGGTTGAAAATTTCGAAGCTACTGAGGAAAAGGCTGCTATAGATGGAGAAGCACATGTTGAACAGAAAAAGGCTGAAACGCGAAATATTCCATATGTGATGCCGGCGACTCATGGTGATCCCAATGCGCCATATTACGAATTACCTGCAGGAAACATGCTACCGCACATAATCCCAGATTCCTCTGCTGCAATCCGAACCCAGTCATTAAAACCTCTCCAATTTGCCGCTGGCCCCGCTGATGAGACTCTTATCAAGGCTGTGAAATCCCTCCTTGCAGAAGTGGACAGGATTTATGATACCAATGAAAACGAGTCTCCGGAGCTTACTATAGTAGATGTGGATGAGCTGGGACAAACCACGACACGCAACGATATGACGGGGGAATCACTGGACAGTGGCACATACTACGGCTGGTCACGGGAATTTTGCCAAAATATGAAACAACGCAGGAGTGGGAAAGCTCGCAGTAGAAGTCGAAGCGCAAGTCAGAGCATTAGCTCACGGCGGTCAGCCAGTAAAAGACGACGGTACAGTGATAGCATGAGCGAAGACGGGAGAGGCCGTTCACGGTCCTCGAGCTCATCAATATCTCGTGGGCGTCGACGGCGAGCCTCAGTGTCCCGCTCCCGATCCCCTCGCCGTCGACCTAGGGCCGGCCGTTCAGCTTCCAGATCGGCGTCATATTCGCCTAAACCGTCTGCGCTTCGGGGAGTCTCATCACCACCTCCTCCACTTACTTCTTCACAGCCCGCAAATCAAACCCAAGCATCTTACGTCAACCCTCAATTCCCTTTCATCGGCGCGCAGCAGTTGAGCATGCTAGCCATGAACCCTGCGCAGTCAGTAATGTTTCCTCCTCCAGTTCGACCACCAAACTATCATGGGCCGTGGCCACCCCCGCCTCCTCCGCCTCCACCAGGCATATCTGCACCGGAGGGGGGTCTGTTCCCCCCAGCCATGAATATAAACATGGCCATGAACATGGGTATGAATATGAACCTGCCAGCCTTTCCGCAAAACTTCCCACCGTCGACCATGGGTGGGCCTATGGGCGGACAACAGTTCATACCTCCGCCGCACCAGCCGGGAGCAAACTTCGCTTTCAGTCCACCACATCCCCACCAGCAGCAACAGGGCCAGCAAGGCGAGCAGAGCCAGCAAAACCAACAGGGTCAGCACGGACAGATATACGCAAGAAACTCAAGCTCGGGCCCCAATGGGATGGGCAGATGGAACCAAGGCGGATGGTCATGATGAGTTACGTTACGTCACAGCGCGTGGATGAATTTTACGTTTTACCTTAATACTTTAAATACCCTAATAACCATATGATCTAGAGGATTCTAGGAGAGTCATGAATCATGCAAAGTATGCAGCAAGCGGACAATTTTCGTAATTTTTTGGCCTTCCTTAATTGAAAAAAATAAATAAATATACGTCGTATATCTCGTCATATGAAGGCCCTTTCTATATCACAGACCCGCGTGAAATGGAAAATGAGACAAAGGTCATATATTTTGTAAACAGCAAGAGGCATTCCCAGCATACCAGTATGTGGAGATATAGTCCGATCCGGGCAAAGGTCAAGAATAAAATACCTCGAGGAGGGCAAGGCTGAAGCGCTAGGCGTCATATAATGAAGAATGAGGGTTCGAGGTGTAGTAAGAAACCAAAAAACTGAAAGGGGAGAGGAGAGCTATCTCGGAAGTCGAGAAGTAAATTGACCAGAAATAACTAGTCAAAAAAGAAAATGGCTTTTCTTTTTTGCGAGAAGAAAAAAGTTGTCGTAATGGCGTAGTCGGTTCATACGAGAGCACCTTGTTGAGGATTCCGATATCCCTGAACAAAGTACGTTCGAGGTATCATGTCTAGGCGTCTCGACTTGAAAAGGACAGCAGATCGCACCACCATCTCTTCATCTTCAAGAGAAAGCGACATAAGTCTCATTAGCCTCTTATGTCTTTTCTTTATGCGCATTCACCAGCGGTGGATATCCCCTTCTGCACCGTAGCATACCATTGACAAGTGTGTCATAAGTCAACCACCGGACCGTCTGCCCGGGTGGCTTGTCTTTGCATTATCCAGAGCGTAGTCGTGCTTCTTTATGGATGGCGGCAAACCGTTCTCCTGGTGATTGTGACGTTTCATGCGATCGTGATGTTCTGCTTTTTTTGGTTCACCAGGTGCTGGTGGTGACTCCGAAGCCCGAAGCTCTTCCATCTGTCTCTGTGTGTGCTCGTACATAACTTGAGTATACGAGGACAATGTATGTTGGCGGTCCCCCGAAGGGCTGGAGATCTTGATCGGAGCAAGTGTATCGTCCATTTCGCTTAACGGTATAAGTATGATCTTGGCCTAACGGAGGAGTGAATGATGTGAGACATGTGTTCATATAACTTATGAGTGGCCAGTCTAAGTGTCGAGAGGATCAAGGGATTGTAGTATGCTCTTTCAAGGCGTTAAACTTGACTCTTACAGTATTATCTTTTGATAAAATGAATAATCAGACAGACATATCAGAAATGGAGGGAAAAGAGGAAGAATGGAGGTGCGTGTCCACATATACCAATTGGCAGCAGACCTCCAGCCACAATTGTATATGGCCTATTATACGTCTATCGGCGGAAAGCGATAAGGGTGGTGACACGGATAGGAAAAGGATACCTCGAAGAAAGAGAATGAAGTATGGGATGTATGCGTGTTTAATATATGGTATAGGGTCAAGTTTTTATAGACTGCCCCTCATACTTATTATGGGAACTCATGAAAATTTCATATCACCTTGAGGTGCATCGTCAAATCTGACACAGGGTTGGGGGACCATATTGCGTCATATGGGGACAGTTATCAGTGGAAGTCTCAGTCCGTTGCGGTTTGTGTGGCTGGACGAGCCCAGAGTCATGGAGAGCAAGGAACAATAAGAACGCTGCCGCCGTTTTGGTCTGTGGCTCCAGACTGCTTCTGGCTCGATAAAGGGGTCAGAGTGGCGGTCGAAAGCCGGATCCCTAATCAATGGAGATCGAGAGTGGAAAATCATGCGGGACAAGCTCTCGTTATGCACCGTAGGACAGGAATCTGATGGTCCCTAGGAGGCGTATGGATATAGAGTCTTGGGATAACTATGTCGTCACATCGCATGGAGCATCGGGTCGTCTGAGCCAAGTTTTCGAATCGTTACCCTTAGGCGCCAGCGCTGGCGAGCTAGCGTCCGCTGGACAAACTCTAAAGGTACTTCTGGCAAGAGGGTGAGAGTGAGGAATGAACGGACAAGGCCCCCCAGCTCGATCGAGATCGTGTTGAAGATCGTAACCCGCAGCGGTTTGGACTCTCGACTAGGTGGCGACCTCTGTCCGCAACGACGATGTTATTATTATTATTCGCATTTAGCGAGGAAGAGCTCCAGCTGGTTCCCCGCCTGGATTCGAGTTGGAGATCTTGAACGAGAAGGCCCAGGATAACATGGAGTACAACGCAGAGGATGCTCGTTCAAGGTGGAGAGGAGTAAGTATGACATGTTGTCTCGAGAAACGAACTGGGTACCCGGGCGGGTCTCGGGCTTATGTCGGTACAACGTCGGACCACTTGTGGATTTTCGTGACCAACTTTTGCATCCTGCATGATCTGCTTTCCCATGAGAAAGACTAATAAAAATGGATGTATGTGGCTGGCAACAGAAACCTCGTTAGTGATGAGCATCAAGTATCAGATATGTAATTCAAGATTGACTGACGGCTGGCAAAGCACTCTGGAGAACAATGACGTTCCTGGCTTTGGTTGCACGTGGAAAAACGGAATAAATTAATTGACATCAAGTAAACAGCAAAACTGGTGTATACTCAGCTACGGGATATCAGCTCCTCAGCTGAACGAGGAAGTACGAAGCCGTGTTGTCTATTGTAACCGAGAAAGGTGTGTCATCTGGTCCTCCCTTGACCTGCTCCTATTCAGCAGCTGCACGGTGTCGTCACCGAAATTCGAGATATGATACCCTATCCACAAGGATAGTGCGGGCTAAATCTCGGGTGTCAGATGTTAGGCTCTCTCATGGATGCTGCCAATTCAAATCTGTTGTCATAAGATAGAGCTCTGTGTTGATGGTTGAACCAATGGTTGTAAACTAATAATCTCTGTTTAAGATTGGATGCCGTTATGGTCATCAGTATCTAAGAATCGAGGAAAAAGTCATAGTGAACAAGGATCATATATTTTAAAGAAAACACAATTCAGCCATAATATGAGAATTGTCGTCATTATTCGATTATACAAAGCCTAATAAACATAGTTAGCATACTGGTAGCTCGAAAAGGTGGTGTAAGGGGAAGAGGGGAGTGAAGGGGGGTAGGTGGAATGGGGGAGGAAGGGCCGCATGGGCGATCAGTGCGCCCAATGCCGGACCCATCCGTTCATCTATACCTTTCCTGGCACCCTGGAAAAAGAACCTGACAATAAACACCTGGAGGCCGGCCATTGAAATCATCATCAAGCTTTCGATAATGCTGAAATTGAATATTCTCTTCTCAGTGCTCCGCACAGTGCTGAAGTTACGGTTTTCTCGTGTTCGGAAATACTTCTGATTTCGGCTGATAGTTGATAGGTGACCTCCTAGTCGGAGGATTGTCTCTTCAACCGCTGACGTCTGTTCAGGGGAAGTTCCAGGCTTTGATGGCAGCTGAGTTCGTTCCTCATTCTCGACCTGCAAAAGGTTCTTTAGCATTCTGTCGAACACGAGGACTTACGCAAACCCAATTGGTCTCCATGATATTATGCAACTGGGACAAAATTGTCCAAAATCAAGAAACACAATCGGGAGATAATGAAGACTAACCGCAATCTCAAAGTCAACCGTCTTCTCCGCAAAAGTGGACATTTCGTTATTGAAACAGAAGCGGTATTCACCCACGGACTGAGCGGTAAAAACAAAATCGCCCTGTCTCTCCTTAGTTCCGTCCATAACCAGCTTCTCACCGGGGCCATAAACGGAGAAATCGATGTCAAATGAACCGCCAGATTGCACCTACACACGCACACATGGCCACGAGTCAGTAAACAGATTCAACAGGATATTGACGCAAACACATCATAGGGAAGGCAAGCTGAAGACATACAGCGAAGTAAAAGGCGACTTTCGCGGGGGGTTTATCGATCCAGGAGTAGAAGCAGGCCTTCTCAGCGGCATCGAGCTTGTAGGTCAAGGCGGTGCCGTAAACCGAAGAAACCGCAAAGGCAAAGAGCCATACGGCGATAGCTTGAAACCGCATGATGCCTTACAACCAGGAAAGGCGAGAGTATACCGTGAAATCCCCGAGAGCGAGCTGTTGTCGAGGTCTGGTTGTAGTCGGTCGTCGTTCCAACAGGAAAATGCGATGCGTAAGATGTTGACACTTTTTTGGTGTGTTGTTTGCATTGTTTGCACTAACGAGCCAAACTCCCAATAGAAACGCTCAACCAGCAACAACACAACATATAAAAAGGGGTACCTTGAATTCAAATACATGGATATTTCATTAAAAAGGGAATTATCTAAATAAGGACCTGGGCTTTCCCAATAGCTTACGACTGGTCCCTTTAGTCATGGTTAGGTATTATAGTTATGGGAAGATGCAAGCAATACACCCGCAGTCAAAAAAAGCATCATTTGCCGCCATTAGAACACCGCCCGTTTAGAAAGATGATCGATAGATAATAGATATAGAACTGGACGAGAAAAAGAAACATTAAGAAAGAGAATTCAAGCCATGAAATCGAAATGAGGGAAATACAAGCAATTGTAACTGATCAAAACGGTGGGGAAAATTTGTAGGATAAATATTCAAAGCCTGAATAAGAACTTGAAACCCCGTTTCCCCGTTTCTCCGTTTCCCACTCTTCTTTCCCCCGCATAATGAAACTGATTTGTGTTGTCTTTGGTTGAAGCTGGAGATATCATTATTTTAATATCAAGATAACTGTGGTGATACAACCATTGAAGGGATCATTGTGTTCGCATAGTCAAGTGCTGCGCTGGCTGGCAAGGAATCGAAAATATCCATTGGGTATCTATCGAATGAAGATATTGTCGCTCTTGGAGAGGAAATTGCGATTCTTATTTACATGGTTCAGACCAAGCTGGCTGTCAGAGTCGCCGACAAGTTCGGAAAGGATGTCATCTAGATAGTGTTAGCTGTTTTCTTAAGAGAGGTGCGTTTTAGTAAGGGGTATGGAGTACCATCTTCAAGATATGTTGGATTTGAGTACATGGCTCGAGACACAACTGCAAATTTTATCTTCTCAAATTGTTTACCTCGGATGCCTGTTCTTTTGGACAAGCGCTCTTTGGTATCGATGAATTTCTCTCCCTATAGATATGTCAGCACTGTGAAAACAGTTAGGAAAGTAATGGTAGACGTACTGGTTTAACAACAAATTTGAAAGGTATGCCATGCTCTCTATTTGGCTCCTTATCAAAATTGAAAGCATTTATCCTAAAATCACCTTCCTTCATGTTTTGTTCATCTTCTGGAATAGGCTCCGCATAAAGGGAGATTGTGTCCATTATTCCAGCAACGCCAAACTTGTCTGTTAGTTCTTTCTGCATTTTGCTGTAATGTGCTTCAAAAACACGGACATTTTGCATAACCTCATTATCCAGATTGGCTTTTTGTTGAAGGCCTTGTAGAATATCAGTGACATTTCCTTGTTTAGGCACAAGTAACTCGAACGGTTGCTGTATGAAATAATATATATTAGCGCACGCCCCAAGACAAAAATAAAAAGGAACTATAAAAAGTAAACCAGGGCAGCAGTATACCTCTTTGATGATTCCCTCCGGCAGCCAGGTGATTTTTATTAGCTTCTTAGTTTCATATTCACTTAAGCTAGTCTCCAGAATCTCATAATATAATGCATCGTTTCTCTGCCCTGAGTTACCGTAAGCAGAGTACTGGGTAGTCAGGATCTGGGAAAGGTTGTGGGCAACGTTCCGCCGAATAAATGGTTTGGGATTGCCAGTAGTAGTTGCAACAGGTGCAAACCGAAGGTGTGTCGGGTCAACTTTTAAGTACTCGCCAACTTTAGCTGAAAATTGATTATAGCTCATCTTGCGGCTAAGAGCAAGTGTAAAAGTTGAGTCATCGGATTCTGGCTTCACTGGCGCAAATTTTATCATGACGCGGTTGAGAAGATAGTCGTAGTATTGTCTTGCGTCCTTGTAGAGAACGTTGGGTCCAAGTCTAGGTGTGATGGGGTCAGTAACAGTTTGAATGTGTTTGGAGGAAAAAAAAAAACGTACTCTGATTCACTTTGGGTCCGCTGGAAACATATTATATCTCCATCTTGAATCTCCGAAGCTTGGAATGTCTGCTTAGGCTTCAGCTGGTCAATCATGGAAGGTTTGATTTCCTAGCATAAACGGTTAGAGGATAATCTACCAAAAGCTAGGAGTATTCACTGAATACATACCTCATATAGCGAAAAGGATGTACCGGCAGGCCAATTCATCATCTGGAGAATGGGCCCAGCAAGTTCTGAAACCTTGGATTGCTTCTTAACGAAAACATGGCCAACACCAGAGAGAGTTTGTGTCACAGGATCGAAATGCTTCAAAATGACCAGAACAGACGCATTCGGTCCTTGCGTTTCAGGCCAAACAACCTTTCCATCACTTCCAGGTTCTCTCACTTCAGCATATACCTTGAAAGGCGCGGCTCTTGACGAAAGCTTGAAAGCAGCTGTTTCGACAGTGTCTTCTGGGTCCCGTAGAGGCTGGTCAGGCCGGACAGTTTTGTTTTGACGATTAACCATAGCCCATAGGCGGACTCGTTCCACATCAAGGCCCTTATCTTCTGCCACAAGTTGCGTAAACTCGCCCACCTTCATGGTACGACGGACTCGGTAGGTGGTCGGGAGGGCTGGATCACCGGGATCCAAATCAGTACTCATCAAGTCAAAGCCGTGATGTTCCCTAAACGAGTCATCGGATACAACTGCAATATTCATGTAGAGATGTTGCTCTTCACGCTCCTTTTTCCTACGGATCGCCTCAGAGCGCTCTTCATCGACTTGTTTCGCTGTTCCCAGTTAGTAAGTCTTCCAAGAAGTATGAATGGGAATAAAAGTAAGCCAGGAACTTACCAAGATGGGCAGGCACATCCTCGTTTCCAACGTTGACAAGGACGTCGTCGATTCTGGACTTCCGGATGTAAACCAACATGTATGCGTTCATCGAGCGTTTTGTTGAGTAATTCCGGGTATAAGGTTGGCGCATCCCGGCTCCATTTGCATACTCTCCTCCAAAGTTCTCTTCTAACGTTTCCTTGTTTGTTGCTCTGATCACCTTGTCATCATCGAATTTGTAGAAGTGGCCATCTTTGGTTGGGCGCAAAAAGGCGTAGTAGTGTCCAGCATTAAGGTCGCCACTATGAACAAGTACGCCGAAAAGCTTATATTCCCAGGGTTCAGACCTGTCTGCATCTGCGGATAAGTAGGGCGATGCATCGAACTCCTCTGGGAATTCATGCCGGTCGTTGATTTTCATCATTGCATCGCGGTTGAAATCGTATTCGTATCTTTGTAGGTGAAGATGCAAGACAGGTGGGAAGCTTTCGAAAATAACACCTTTTCGGGCGTCTTGCAAACCATGGGAAGATCCTGCGTCATATTTGTTCTCTCCATCCATGATCTCAACGTTGATGTAAGATTTGAAGCTGTCATCCAGGGTCTTGTTTCCTTTGACACTCAGCTGTATATCCCAGAAGTCCTCTATCCGCGACGATTCATAATCAACGTTGATACAAGAAATGTAAGTTTTGGCTTTGCCCACAAAGAGGTTCGGGAGTGCTAATTCAGCCGGTGTGCCTTTCATTTGCACCTCGAGCTTCTCCATGAGTAACCGAGAGAGTTCCTGGACATCCTGCTGTTCAAAGATTACCCTTGACTTCCATCCAAAGGACTCAGTGAGTTCTGAGGTTGAAACAGGAGTTTCACATGTTTGGAGTGAGTAGAATAAACGTTGAAGGGTCCAGGCAGAGTTCTTTTTATTTGCTTCATCTTCTGTGGGAATTTGGTATACAGCCTATTTATCATTTAGCACAACAAACGCAGTGTATTTGGAGGTAAATTTTGGCATACCTTTCGGAACGCATTGGTGAAAAACAAAGATTGGAGGAGCGAGTTAAGGTAGCAGGTTGCGCCCTGGTTTCTGAGACCAACCATGCCAGTCTCTTTCTTAGAATTATAGCTGGAGTATGTTAGCTATATAGATAGTTACCAAGATATCGGGGAGCAAACATACTTTTGGAAGTTATGCCATAGAACACCAGTAGGATCTTTCACCACTCGCACATATGCAGTGAGACAGGCCTCTTGATTGTCTACGAGTGGCACACCTCTGTCATCATGGACATGTTGAAACAATTTCCGTAGTTCACAGAACCGCGTGAAACCCCAATCCGATTCTTCTGCGTTGAATCTATGTGTCGCTCCTACGCCCAAATTAGCCCGCGTCTCGAGTTGAAAATGGTCCAGGGGAGGTTTTACTGTTTGAGATATATATGTCTGGATAGTTCGGATTCCATAGGACCAGGGCGAATTGCACGCAAGCGTACCAGTTCTCCGGCACGTTCTCCTCCCACCCATGCTCCAGGTAAAAGGAGGCATGTTCTACCTGGTTACCGTAGGGGAAAAACAATATTCTCCTAAAATACCCGTTAGAGAGATTATTGCCGCTTGTTGTCTAGACTGCTCTCGTCTTGCAAGGGGGATGTACCATGGTGCGCCGGCACATTCAAACTTGGGCCCATGCTCTCTCCGCGGCAGCTTTGTCCAATTCTTTATGTGCCATGTGTGATATGTTTCTCCTTCGGTTTCCAGATCCGGGTCTACTGGTAGGACTCTCGACATCATCGTCTCATCTATCAAGCAAACAGAAGAGTTAGCCTAGGTAAGGTACCGGCAAAGAATAACGACCATGCTCTTGGCAGCCGGAGCACTGCTGGTTAGGCACTCGACAGGACGAGGGGGAGGGGCCAGGCGTGCGGCAGAGCTCAGAGAAGCAGACAGAGAGGCGCGAGCGGTCTCTGCCAGGCAAAAATCACAGCAGCTGGGGGAGCACATACAGTCATTGGCGAGTGGCTTCTCCATGTCTACGTCGTTCGAGGTTGAGCCGGCAGGCGACACGACAACCACGTCTGTCCGGTCATTGTTCTCGAACTGGTCGTAGTCAGGCACCATGGTATCAGCATCATTAACCTGCAGTATCAAGGCACGCTCGTCAGCCTGGATCTTCGTTTCCGGCGTGTAGAATCAAGGCCGGGAGAGAGGTGAGGGTGAGGAGTGAGGGTTGGTGAGGGCGGCGGCCTACATGGTCCATGAGCTCGGTATATCCAACCAAGGCAGCAAAAGAGCTCTTATCGTGGCTGACCAGCGCTCCGAGGCGAGGCAGAGACAGTAAAGCAGTCTTCAGTTAGACAGCCAGATGCTATCGACGTAGTAACCGCTATTAAACAGTGTTGCGTGAGGCTGTTATCTGCGGGTGAAGTTGGCAGCTCCGCGTAGGATGGTCGTTTTTTTATTTTATTTTATTTTTTTTGGTGAGGTTTTTTTTTTTACTTTTCTTGTCGATGTTAAGTTAGAAGAAGAGGAGAAGAAGAAGAAGAAGAAGAAGAAAAGACTGCTTTTTTAAAAGGATGGCAGTGCCAGGCCTTTCTGGTCAAGCACAATCACCTTTAGATGTATGATTCTTCTTTGACTGTATTGATTCTTAGAGTGGACAGTGAAAGCTGCTCTTCCATGCATGTAACTAGCCCATTGTTCACCCAGCAGGGCATGCAGGAGGAGGCTGTTCAGTGCCCACCAAGATGCTGGGGAGAAAGCAGACAGCAGTGACTCTCGCAGCCAGCTCGCCAGTTACCGCGCAAAGATAGGTGCCTACACAGTAGATCCATGCATAGGGAGATCCCGTAGCCGTCGATGCCGCCGTCGACGTCGATTTGTTTGTTTCCCGCTTCGTATCGCGCCAGCCGAGGATCAGTTTCAGCCTCCGACACCGGCAACCAGCAAGAGTCAAGAGTCAACACAAGCAAAAAGTCAACTTCTAGACTACACCTTCTTCTTCTCTCGCTTCCTCTCCCCTATCCCACCAGCTACCCAGCCCTCGATGAACCCGTGCTGCTCTTCTACGCTGCTGAGAAGCCATGTCTCGACTGTGAGCCATGACTTGTAAAGTCCGTTGTGGCATCCTGCGTCCTCCAGCCTGGCCCAGTCACCTCCCGCAAGGCCTGAGCTGCACCAACTCGTGAATGAATGGCACCGCCGGCATGCTGCTAAGCCAGTCGAGTCGGTGCCGGCAGAGCGCTCGCTGGAGATGCTGTCGGCAGGTCCGCTGTCTCTCCGCAGACAGCCAGAGGCCTCCTCCGTGGCGGCCTGGCTCCGTTCTCGATGAGTATGGACCGACACCTTGCGCATGACGGATGAGTTGTTTACACCTTGACTGACGACGAGTATACGACGGCAGCTGGGTAGAGAGAGATGTTCGGCCGATCAGCCTGCGCCAGTTGACCTTCTTTGGTCGTACGCTCACTGAGAGCAGACTCATCAGTTCTGCGAACTACGTCCGGACTGAGCTCCCCACTAGGTACACATGCCGCCATATAACCAATTTACTTAACATTCTCCAGGGGTGAGTGCTGACGAAAATAAAAATATATACAGGATCGCCCACCGTCTACGTGATATGCAGAAGCTGCCGTATGTTGTTGTGACGAATCCTCATCTCTCCTATGTCTACGAACTATACTACAAGGCCTTTGAGCGCTTTCGGACAGTACCCGAGATCAAAACAATAGAAGATAATGATAGATACTGTGATATTTTACGTCATGCTCTTAAGGAGCATCTTACCGTTATTCCCAACCTTGCAATGGGTGTGTTGGAGTGCCAGGACTTAGTCAAGCCTGACGTTATGGACCGGTTTATGAATACTCTCCTGCGAGCGGTATGATAGCACCATATTATCTTTATAGTGGCTTTACTAGGGCGAAACTAACATGCTGGTAATAGAGAATATCACGACGGGTGATAGCAGAGCAACATCTGGCTCTTACAGAGACATTCAATTCACCATGGCATTTCCCAGACTCGTCCGACCGCGATATGGGTGCAGATTTCGTCGGTGAAGTCTTCCTCAAATGTAACGCAAAGGACGTTGTAGAGCGCTGCGGAAAGCTAGCTCGTCACCTACTGCGACAAACCCTCGGTCCGGACGCAAGAATTCCCACAATATCCATTCAGGGTCATCTTGGTGCTACATTCCCTTACATTCTAAGCCACCTGGAGTATATAGTTGGAGAGCTGCTTCGCAATTCCATGCAGGCAGTTATCGAGAAATACAAAGACAGTAACAGCCCACCACCGCCGATAGAGGTGCTCATCTGCGAGGCTCCACAGCATGTCATTATCCGTGTCTCAGACCAGGGCGGCGGCATTCCTCGCGATATCCTCCCCTATCTCTGGTCATTCTCCAAGGGCCCTCGTTCAAAAACCCGATTGGAGAACCTTGGCCAGATTCACGCCATGGCCGCAACTATGCAGGAACTGAATGTTTCACATCAGGACTCGTCAAAAGTACCCAGAGGAATAAAGGAAAACTCCCTAGACTCTCTCAGTTCGCGTCCGCCTAATCTAAGGCTCGGAATGGGCCTCCCGATGAGTCGTGTCTATGCAGAGTACTGGGCTGGAACACTCGAGCTCCATAGCCTCGAGGGATATGGTGTCGATGCTTTCCTACAGATTTCTAGGCTTGGGAACCAGAACGAGCAAGTGTCGAAGCGAGCGGCAATCGATGCTGTATAAACTATCTTCCGTCACACACCGAATGAAACGGCCTCATATTTCACTCTTACCCTATAAAAACCTCCCCATATATAAACTACATTGCCACAGGTGGACACAAATATCCCAATACCCAAACACCACTTCTTCCTCTTACCTCTCTCCTCTGTTCTTACTTGGCGGATTAACATGATCGACTGGCTATTGCTCTCCATTTTTATTCAATTAATAGGCAAATACAATTACTTGTGCATCGATCTTTGTACGCCATGCTCTATAGAATTGTACAAAGACACGATCTCATGCTACCAACCCAAACAATTTACCACGTGATTCGGCTTCACCCGATGACATCATATCGATCTAAATAGACGCAGGATGCGCTTGCCGATTGTACGTTAAAGTCAACAAGCGCGAGGTAGTAAACAGTCTCTCCTGAAGAAACAATGGAGTGGTTTCGCTCACATCCCTCCATGAATAAGTCCATGGTTATATTCTATAGGCAATATCGTGCTTAACAACTCGGAAGCTAAAAGTTGATTATTTTGACTTAGCCCGTTATCTTACGTCTCAGCGCCAGAAGCTCCATCAAGCTGTTGTTTCCTGAATTCGCACCAGCGCTAAGATGTCTGAGACCTGTGCAGGTGTTATCATTGTTCTAGTAACTCTCCTCTGTAGGACTCACCCTGTGATACCCTATCTCTTATCCGTATGCATATACAGAAGTGCTAACATAGTTTATCTCAGTCCCGCCGGCTGGGGTCTTCTTCATCGGTGGCTGCTCCCCGGACCTCTTTATCAACGTCCTCTTGACTATACTTGGGTAAATAAATTCTTCCCAGAAACACCGCTGAATACTGGCTGATTATTTGCCCGAATAGATATTTCCCCGGCCATATCCATGCTTTCTACACGCTATGGGTGTATTATGAGGCCAAAAGTAGGGGTCATGAAGGTAGACAGAGAGCAAGGAAGCCACCGGGTATCTTTTCAAAGAGGATTTTGAATGGCGGCGAAAGATACCGTTTCTCTGAGCAAGAATCTCCCATGCAGCAAGGATATGGTACCAGTACCACTCAAGCTCCTGCTACTAACGGTGGCCACCAACCGGCATAATAAATATCGAAGGGCACTTGAACCTAATGTATACACTTCTGGAGTGTGTGTCGATGACTTCCGGACGAGAGACAGATAGGAGTTGGGGTAGTAGAAACCATTGTTATTTTTTTTCCCCGCTTGGCTTGGGCGGCGTGTACCACTATTAATATCTCTATAAGCAGCCTTTGTTGTTAGTCCGTTTCTCTATTGGAGATTCAATGGTATAAGTCTTCTATATTTGTTCTTGTTAAATCCCTGACCAAGTATGTCAAAATAGAAGTTGATCCATTGGCTAATGTGGTCGGAATATACCCGTCTGGAGGTTCAGTCCTTAACAGCTAGGATGACGGTAGAAAGAAGGGTATAATGGAGAATATACTGTAACTATTGTATTAAATATACCCTGTAGAAGTTTACCCGCGCAAGTTACCCGGGAAATCAAGAAGTAGCTGGCTTCTTCAAAGCTGGGAAATTAAACGGTTTGCTCCTCCCACTAAGTGCTCCCTTAGAGCCAGCGTTCTGAAGAAACAATTTTCCAAAAAGCCCGCCGACATTCTTTTCCATGTTTGTATTCGAGCTCCAGCGTAACGAGCCTATCCAGGGCTGCACGTTCCATCCAACAATCAGTTTCACCCCTTCCTTCTCTGCTATCGATCCCGAAATATCAGTTATCTGATATTTTGGTTTCTGGTTCCGGAGCTTCAGTTTCCCAGGTACGACAGTTTTCTCGGCGTTAACTTTGGTCTTGCTTTTGGAGTTGTTGCGTTTCGACTTCAATGCCTTTGCGTCTGGGAAAAATCGGGACTTCAGGGACTCGAGGGAATAAGGCGATACAGGAGCTGGAATGATTTTATCCCATATTACCGCTTCGGTCGTTTGCGACTGGTTTGAGGCAGAAGGGTACGAAGCTAGAACGTAGACGAAAACTTGCTTTGTGTTGAAGTGGAAGAGAGAGGTCAAGTCTAAAGGAGAATGTCTCAGTTATCAGGTTCAGAACAATCTGGTTTGAATCGTATTCATAAACGTACCAGCGTCTAAATCAAACTTAACTTGTGCATATTCTTCTCGTCTCGAGGCATAGTAGTGAGGTCTTCCCTTAATTCTATTTACAAACATTAGCACAGCAGTTAGTATATTAGCTATTAGGATATGACCGATGGAATTCCTCCGGTAGGATAGACCATTGGCTTGACATACACTTGTACGTTCGACACCTTTATGCTGGTGGTAGGCTCAGCTGGATGGAGGAAATCTGAAGCGGCAATGATTGCGCCCAACACAAGAGCAACCGTGGTCAGAAATCCAAACACACTCTGAAAGCGGGTGGAAACTGAATGCATTGCGGCAGCTTGGGACGACCGTCCTTACATCCACTGAGCCGTGAATAGCTTCGTGGCTATGGCTGTTCTTCAAAGCTACAGATGAGGCCAGATAAGATTGACAACCTGGGGTTATACTAGCTAGGCGCTCGGTCCATATTAACTAACTGTATCACGTGATTGCGTTTCAGCCCTGGAGCTGGAGGGTTGTTTCCATGCTAAACGCAACGCCTGATATGAATATAGAGACTGGAAAATGACGGGAGACAGTAAGATATCGACTTAAAATAACAGTAGTATGCTGGAGCTAGAACTCATTACATCGCTAATACAATAATATTCGCCTCCCATTGCTCCTGCGGGAAGTGAAAAAGGCCTCAAACCCGGACGAACGCCTCGAATGCAGTCCCTTAGTATGCCATGGAAAGCATCATTCGAAAGGGGAGAACAGGGATATTCTGGACAATGAAATAAATGACAATAACGAAAGAGAGGACGGAAG